CAAATATATAAAGTGATCTTACAAAACAATGCTGTTTTCCAATTCTGGTTTCCAGCTTCACTGCATACTAGTATACAAAATTCCGAACTCATAAACAACATAACGTTTTTGATCAATCACACATAATGATCCTAAAATATTTCTTCAAAAAAGATCACCTTTATTGACTTTTGAGGTCTTAAGATTAAATTCGTCAAAAAGATTAGTATGGTAATCTTTATGAACAGCCGTCTTGATGCATATTAACAAAACAGCACGTTGTGTTATGGTATTTGTCAACATCCTTTCCTGTCTTTGGCGGATTTCTCGATTTGTTGCGTGACAGACAACCATTTTCGGCTTAACAGTAATCATCGTCTGTAAAGATTCCATTGATTATGGATCTGCGAGTTTTATCCTGTAGGAACGGAACGCGACCCTTGTCACATAGATAAATGCTCAATAGAACGTTAGATTAACCAAAAAATGTTCCTCGCACCTGTTTTCATACTTGGAATTCAGAAGTTTTAAATTCCCACAATTAAAATTGTTTTTTTTTTTTTTTAAAGAAAGTTAAAGATGTCAGTTTAAATGTCATTGACATAATTTGAGTGATTATATTGGTATGAAGCGATAAGATATGATGTATAATTTTCAATAGACGTAGAAAGGAGTGGTGATTTGTGAAGACATAAATATTCACGTCAATAAATTTGTGAAATAAATCATAAATTAACAAGGTTATGTATAAGCCTTCACAACCCAAAGATGAAAAAGATTGTTTTATTGAATAGTTTATTAATAAATAAAGCATAGGAGTAGATCTATTTTATAATCAATCAAAATAATTTCAATTTCTAAACAATTGGGACTTGGTGACCCACATGTATATGTTTAGAAAAACTTTGTTTGCATGTTGGTCTTATGAAACAATGCAACAAAAATTATCATTTACATTTTATCCCCTGGAAATGGGGGGGGGGGGGTAAAGTACTCATTATGTGAATAATTAAAGTGTAAAAGTTGTTCATTCTAAAATTCTCTCTCTCTCAACCAAATGGAATGCAAACACACCCAAATTAGTAAATTTATTATATCTTTTGACAAATCAAAATATAAACAGACTATCCTTGATTGATAAGAAAATCAAAGACATTTAATAAAAGATAACTATCATGAAGGGTGAAGAATTTCACCGTGCGTAAATTTTTTGTATTCTGTAGTAATAATTCTAAAGAGGATGGAGGTTTGGCATTTTAATACCATGTTTATATATGTTTTAAAGATTTTTTCAAAGATGTTTATTCCGAGTCGTGTCAAGGATTAGCAAATCGCCACCTCTGAATGGATATTAGTTCACTACATGCTATTTTAATATCCTCAGAAAATACCCCATAGCTTGTGGCACTCTATTGATATTCGGATAATCTTATAGTTTTGGAATTTTTAAATAAGATTATAAAAGAATACAATTCAAGGAATTACAACTTACCTGGAATGTAAATAAGTGACTTTTGTAGTTCTATGTTATGTTATAACTTGTTTCATTCAGTTTTATCATTAACCCGAGGCTCTACATGTAGCCCGAGGCTGAGCCTGAGCAGAACCGTACAGGTACAATGTAATCCAAATACTGAGATGCTGCTAATGTGTGGAGAATTTATTCTAACTTCGTGATTTTTTTCCTTGTAAATATCAGTGGCATGATAGTATGTTAAAGTATATCTAATAAGTAGTCCCCTTTGAAGGTTTCTATATATTACACACGCATATGTATGGCAAATACATGTAAATGTACCTGAAGATGCTGGAAAATAGTGTAGTGTCATTGATGCTGCCCAGATAAAGTGTAAGAAATGAAAGACGCAGTCACAAAACAGATTCCCTAAGACTCCCTCACCAAAATCTTATCTTTCAGATATTGGATTTTGGTTTCAGGTATCAGTGTATTTACATAAAAATGATAGTATTTATCGATTATTATAATTCAACCGATTATACAAACATTGATCTCGAGACTTTGAAACTTTATCACACTATTAAGTGCGGGACTACTAGGCTTTACATTAATCTCCTTAAGTGCTAGGGATTATCTTATCAGTTGTCGACTTTTTTGAGCTGGGTGCCCTGGTTTTATCAAACTGGGTTTTTTTTCAGATATTCTGCTAAAAATATGGATTTTATATCAGAACAAGAGAAATTAAATACTTGGAATCAGTGTTATAGCTGGACACTTCTGGCGTGGGGGGGGGGGGGGGGAGGGGGGGACAGAAAGAATGAACTTTCTTGTGTGTCAATTTTAAGGCATATACATGTACTACAAGACTGAAATATTAGGAATTTATAGATATAATTGCTCTGCGTGAATATATTGTTATAAGGAATTAGTGCTTATATGCATACCATGCACCTCTTGTCAATCCTTTTCAAATATTTATTATATTTTTAAAACGATTGCACCTGCATTGTTCTTTTAACAAATTTCAATTATGTCGTGTTATTATTCTGTTGTGATAAGAGATACCAATTGAACTGTATTGGACGACAAACTGAAATCAGTAAAGAGCCTTTGGTTTATTTAATAATGCGATACTGTTTGATAAAATATTTCAACAATCAATAATACCCTGTTCCTTTATACTAAAACTGGTATAGTGTTCGATACACACGACTGATTAAAATGACACAATTTATGTATATACAAACTATTGATATATTTTAAAAACCGGTAGAAGGTGCCATTCGGGCATGAGGGGTGACCAGCATTCTTAACTACTTCACATAACATATATACAAGTACCAAGTACTCTTGAACTTCGATGAGTTGCAAATTCCGAGAAGGGGGGGGGGGGTCGGAAGGTTGGATGTTTTGGAATGGTAGAGGGTTTGGTTGCTGCATTATGTTTTAATTAAATCGATATGCTTCACAGTTTTTTTTTTTACAGAAAATGAAAGACAGTTATAACATAGAATTTTCTGTTCACTATAATTATACACATAGCCCGAGGAATATGCCCCTGGAGTGGATTCCAATAATAAATCCATAAACTGACTTGATTTTTATCAGTTGACTTCCCTGATACTAAATTTGCCATCACCTGAATGACTGTGCCTAACTTAGATAGGTCCAATTCTTATGTTCTTTGAATTAAACTTGTTCAATGACAATCTTCCGCTAAAATAAAAGAATATGTAATATCTCAGAAATCGTATATATATTTAACATTCAACATGACAGGAGAGAAAAAAAAAACACGTCAAGAATATCGAACACACACCCTGTGATAAGAAATTTGACATGCAGTTGAATTTTGATATTAATTAATTCCTTTGGTGGTTCCTGGTTTTGGGTTTTACCTTTAGTGCATCATTCCATTTATTGCACACATGCAGATTTTCAACCTAGCCGTATAAATCATTAACATTTCCGGATAAAAACCCTATCTTAGTTTAAAAGATCTCCCTCTACTGCTATAGAATGTTACGACATCACGACAACTGTGTTGTGCTGATCTGAAATATTAAAGCAACGTAATATGTGGTAGAAACAGGAAAAAAAACACATTGAATAATTCCAGACCATAAATTTTCTTGTATGTAGTCTTGCTGTGGTTAGTAGGAGCATTGTTTGTATGGGGGACTGTCCGCATATGTAGGCGTATTGAATGCTATACTCTGCATTTAAAACATGTCAATCTAATAAAGAAATATTCAAAAACATAAAAATTATATTTCAAAAAGAGAATGCAAGAAGAAAATCTTTATAAGACTTGAAAGTAACATTTTAAAGGTAGGAACGGTACTTTATTACATGTAATTTTCATTATTTAAATTAAAGATATGGAAGCAAACTCTCAATTTACACAAACATTGTTTTCACAGTCACACTTATTTTTTCGTTTGGTATATGCTTTGAGTCTTAAGAGTACAAATATATTAAGTTCTTTTGGGGAAAACGCAAATCTTTGGAAGGCTATAACACTGACCTTTCTCGGACAATGTCAATCAAAAATAATATGGTCGAAAATATCATGTTTCTTTTTCTAAAGACGTGAAAACTCTACGTCTCATTTTTCTCATCAAAGCCCAGATAGGTCAACATCAGTCCATATGTAGTCTCCTTTGCATCTCGCCATTGAAGTCCATGTAGAGAATAGTCTAAAAAACCTCAGATGACCCCTTTTGTCACAAAACCGGACTCTTTTTTTAATATTTTGCTGACAATTAAAGGTCGCATAAAAATGACTTCCAATGTTTTCGACCTTTGCTGTTGAGAAATAATTTATGTTTTCCACCAGACGGCTCTGATCAGTATTATCGTCTGCTTCTTAAAAAAAAACAAACCCATTTACCGTCTGCTTGTCATGTAGGGTCAAGCTGAATAACGCAGAAAACCCGGAAATCAATGACCCTTTCTATTGTTCTTTATTCATTATATTTTCCCCCTTTGATTCCCTGCCTTTAACTGATTGCTTTATGAGTAATAAGATGACCAAAATTTACCATTAAAATGATGAGGACATAAATCGTTTGTATCACCTGCTGTATGAGGAAATCGTGCCGGATTTTTTGGCTGTAACGCAAAATTTCAGGAACTTAAATACGGATGAAAAGGATTTGTTCCCTATCATCTCGCGAGCGTAGCGTATGTGTACTGTAAATGTCTTTTGTCTTAATGTCACAAACTTAAAGTGTATATTCAGTTTTTTACTTCCACACATTTAAGATTAAGGCCTAAGTTTGAATATTTAATTGTGCATTTAAACAAATTTAAATATTTAACTTTTGGAAAATATGACCTTCTGACAGAGGGAAAAGTAAGTCTTTCATCAAAGTCATTTTAATAAAATGAATATTTTCATAAAGATTCACATCCATTCTTCATTTTAGTATAATTAATGATAAATCTTGCAATATTTGCTATAAAATTGACATATACATGACAAAAACCTTTAAAAAGGCAATAAAAGATGCAACAGTTCAAAAGCTATCTTTTTGAAACTGATGCTTGCGGTTATAACATGGTTCATCCCGGTAACCTTGGTAAATGCATGTAACATCGAAATACTCTTAAAACCCACACGAGCAAAAACTGATATTAATGAAGTTATTTACATTATATTGCATTTGCATAAGACTAATTAATTATGAGTGCACGTATTTAACACGATGAGTCACAAGATTGAATATAAATGTCCCTTTGATTGTACTGTACACAGAGCTGACCAGTGACTCAATTCCTGCTATTTTTACATCTAGAAAATAACCTTTTAATCCCCGAACATGGCTTTGTTCGCCCAGTGTCAAAAATAACAGGGAATCCTTTCACATTCTCCTTCTAAGATGGGCTCTTGAAGGAAAAAGCTTAATTCTCTCTCTCTCTCTCTCTCTCTCTCTCTCTCTCTCTCTCTCTCTCTCTCTCTGTACAACAAATAATTATAATTTGATGCATTTAGTAACAAATCAAGATAATACTCTTATAGCTGCATGATATGAAATCACTCCGTGACACGAGACAAAGATCATTGTGCTTGTCCTGATATCTCCAAGTTAATTCACTGATAAGATCACAGGCTTTATAATTATTAGTTATTACCAATTTCCCTAATTAACAAACTTTGAATTATTCTATACTCATGAATATGTATTAAAAATATTCCAACACACACCGTACCGTTTAAAAACTCGATACTTTACTAAAATGAAGAGCTGCCCCACTCTAGTTTAACCGGGTTAAATATTTGTTATCTCTCGTTATGTGGAGTAGGATAATCATTGAGCTATGAATGGAAGGGGGACTCAATAGAAATGTTTACCCATATAAAACAAGAGCAAACACTGGTTTGCTGCTTCTGAAAAGTGTACCAGACATCAACAAAAACAGGTAGAAATCCGACAAGGGGACCTTAAAGAGGGATTATTGTTCGAGAATACGTAAAGAAAATAAATTTTATTGATGGATTGACATTCGATCAATGTTTTATCTTCTCTTTTTTTGAAATTTAATTCAAAACATTTTGAAAGAATATGAGCAATTTCTTTTGGCTGCCACAAGGGTCGACAGGAGTAACTCTGGGTGAGGTAGATTTAGGAGAGGGAAGGGACACACCCGGCATGCGCCCCCGTTTTTCTATTATTGAGAATTTAAAGAAAATTAAATTTTGGGATAAAAGGGTATAAATAAAAGAGTTCTATATTCTTGCAAATAAGAAGTTTCTGGATGATTGATTCCTAGCCTTTGTTTCAACAAACCTTAAAATAATAGTACATTTTAGCTCCTTAGATCTTAAAATATATAATTAATAGGTCATAATTATGACTACAAGATATAGTAAAAATATTAGAAGACTTCATTTTTGCCCTACCAAATTTGTATACGTAGAAGCCTGGAGATTTCGGGCGCTTTGCTCCTAGGTCCCCACCACGATTTCGCCTTGGCTTCAAGGCGGACCCCAGACCTCTGCCAATCTTTTTAGGTGGCGGACCCAAACTGCAATCCTGGATCCATCCTCGTTTTGAGTTCAAAACCCTTAGATTTAACAGAGAGTCACGAAATAATAGGCATTTTTATCATAATGTACAAAAGGTCAAACATTCTCTTGTTATAATCTTATGCACCCTAAATACATTTCTCAAATGACAAAAGTTCTTATTTTACCACACTAAACAACGATATCATATTTATAGCCTTTCTCGTACAGAAGTTTCTTAATTTTCTTGTTTTTTTTTTTTATTTCCAGGTCAGCAGACGTTCACGAAGTTCCAGGGTATTTTCGGTCTGTTTGAGTTTTGGACGGACGACTTTTTAAATAAAAGTTCTGATGCATATACAGTTCTAGTGGAAGATTTAGCGTATGATGTAAGTGATTCCTCAAATTAAAGCAGACATCTTAGAACTGCTCTCTGCATGTCCAAATCTGAGAAAATACACCCCCCCCCCTTTTCAGTGAGTTTTGGATTTGAAAAAAGGGGGGAAATAAACAAACTTTATGCATTTAAGCAAAATACTTGATTACAAGAGCGATAACTCTGTTTTTCTTCTTGCAGATAGACGCTACCTTTTCAGTATTCAATGATTTTCAAAGAGGAGAAATCTTAGATGTTAAGTACGTACAGTTTTGTCATTTATTTGTTTCTTATTACAGTGAATATCAAGTCACTCAATTAATGATGTCAACCTTTCAGTTTAGCTTAATGCATGGACTATACCTCTATTCCATATATTGTACATCAGGTCTTGCTGAATACGCACAATGGATGATAGCAAATCGACTGCTTTTAAAAACTTTAGTAAGATTATAAATAATCAAAGCTAAAACATTTAGGAATACAATGTACTAGTCAGAACTGTAAGTCTGATGTTTGGAAATAATCATAGATCATGGAGATATCATCTACGTTTCCATTATAGAAAAATTAAAGACATTAATCACAAAATGAGAATTCAAAATTGAAAAGAATTTTTTGAACATCAATAGAACATATTAGTAATAAAGAAGGAAATAATTCGCGACAAGTCATTTTTATTTAGGCTTTCCAGAATTCGTCTGACAAACGACCAAATTCAACATCTACATTTTTTAATGGCCCTGACTTTCAAATAAGACCTTCAATGAAAGTTTTGCCACATATGTTGTCTTTTCCCAGCATCTTTGCATTTCTGCATACAAATTGTGCTTTCTCTTTGCAGAATTGCAGAAGGAAATTTTACTGAAGTCACATTAAATATCGAATTTTACAATTCTCGGACGGAATCGGAATTCAGAGAATTGCTTCAAAATGTTACCAGTAATTACACACTCTTCGGGAATTTTTTCCTAGACTTTATCAGGAGTATACGGGGTAAGCATAGATAGGCGTAGGAAGTGTATATTTTCTGTGTATTTTCCTCAATTGTCAAGTTATCTTAAAGTTTATTTAGCCTTTACCATTTGTATTTTTTCTTGGTAACATTCTTTTAAAATCAAACAAGACTTGGAGAGAGAGAGAGAGAGAAATTAATTTCAAGATTTATATTAAAATGATTCTCTCTTCAAAGTGTCCACACATATCCATAGGTACATGTATTGTATTGAGTTGATTCTTCTAATTAATCCAAATGCTGCTATTCCATTTCAGGAATTGAATCACTTGGGCCATCTGTCTCATCAACAATTATCAACTCATTGCTAAGTTCACAGTTTGATTCCACGACAGCAAGTGACGTATTATTCACGACTAGTGACATATATACCTCAAAAGATGACGTTTCTTCTTCTGCGCATCTCTCAGTCTTATCCAGTTCTCCAATTACACTTCAATCGTCTGTAACAGACTTATTAACATCATCCAAAGGTAAGCTTTCTGAATATATGTATTTATTACCTTCCCTAAACACTTGTTTGTTGTATATAACAATAAATATTGAAGAGTTCTTTTATTTTCATAAAAATATTTTCTTCTCCTTCATAACTATGAATGCAAAATTCTTTAGGTACACACTGTATTATCCTATTAGACCTTTTTGTTCTTTTTATTTTCTAGTTTCTATGACACCACCTTTATTATCCACTTCCACTCTAGCTACAGGTGTAACATCGGATATATTCCCAACATCTTCGGAGAGCTTCAGTTTACCATCACTCTCTTCCATAGATGTTAAGCCATCAGGTATCGTATTATCAAGTGTACAAGCTTCACCCTTTCTATTGTCGTCTGCTTTACCTGTTCAGCAGCTTGACTTTTCTGTACTCAACTCCAGCACTTCAGCTTCCTACAATACTCAAAACTCAACTGATGCACGCAAATTTTCTACCATCTCTGCTTTGTATGATAGTCACCTACTTGCTTCCTTCAGCACCACTTCTGCTAAATATACAACAGCATCCTCTAGCATCTCTTCCTTTGAATATTCAAATGACCACGCTTTGCTTCAGCATGTTTCTGAATCACCAGCACAAAGTGATTTTGAATCTAAAACACTAGCTTTCGATACGAATAGTTTTGCTTTGATTAACATTTCGAAGAGTGCTAATAGCTTTTCTATATCTTCCGCAGCTGAGTACAAAACTAACTTTTTCAATAGGGAATATGAATATGAAGCCTTAGACATTTTATCTTTCGCGCAGTCGACATATCAAGTAAAACCGTCGGTCTCCGTCTATGCTAGTGATGGTGATTCCTACTCTTCAAAGTTACATCTCCATGAATTCAACTCTGAGTCCGTGGAATTCCCAATTGGAGGCATGGCTAAGATAAGACCAAGTACCTCCAAAACAACGATGTTCACGGGCTATTTCAGCGAGGCAGTGGAAAATGAAGGAATGATAACCTCAGTACTGTCATCTGGGAACGCTAACATACATGTACAGTCCAGCATGTCTTCAGTTAAAACGGAAAATTCAAATCAAGTATCAGCAAAATCAAAAGCAACAATTTCTCTTGGAAATGTGCAGACAACTCATGTCACTAGTTCGGCAATATTCGTTAATGGACTGTTGTCTAAGCCTAGTCGATTTGTTCCTTCCTTAGAGGTATCCTCGATATTTCCCTCAATAGCACCAGAGGAAAAAATAAATGTTTCAACAAAAACACATCAAAGGGAGGAATTTTCAAAAATCTTAAGAGATGATCTGCATTCTTCTTGGCAAGTATTTCCTTATGAATATTTGTATCAATCAGTCGATTTACCGGTCGAAAAGAGTATGACCCAGGCTGGGAGAGAGATGTCTTTTTCAAGTAGGACAAACCGGTCAGAGGGATTGGAAGTCTTTACCCCGGAGGTTGCAGTAGATCCCACCCCAGCAGAAGTTCAGAGTCACTTTAATGGGGATATATTTGGTGATGCAGATCTTGACAATATTCTGAATGACCTTTTATTGGAGAGACAAAGATTGAAATCTTCAAGTGAAATTTTTCAACCATACAAAACGGACACAGCTACTATGTTTTCTGGATTACCAAACAAAACATCACATCTCTCAGAGCTGCAAGCAACATCAATATGGAATTCCTTAGCAGCGAGAACAACCCAAGGTATATATATACGTAGTAATGTAGTATCCCTAGAACATTAGCATCCCTTATACTTCCTAAGAGAAATCAATCAAATTATTCTAGTTAATAATTTTAGGGACTCCCTTATATATAAACACAGTAGATATATGTATGATATACGGAAATTCATCACAATACTTTAAAAGTGAACCTCTTGTGTTTTAATCTTTTATCATTTTGAACATCAGCTTTGATTTTACAATTTTCATAAAAGATGAGGGTCGCGAATGCATAGTAATTCAGTATTTCACATGCTTGGGGTATTTAGAGCTTTCTGCTTTATCGCCTACGGATATTTACAAAATTGACTTTATTTTCAACATAAATAAAAATAAACTTTAACATTTCTGTTTTCCTATTTCCTACAGTTGATGAGGCAAGCACATCTACACATTCATCTACATTCATCAGTACCTCAACACCCTTGCTGATGTCATCGTCTTTCCCTGTCATGCCAACCCAATCTCATTTGAGCTCAACGTTATCATATTCATCAGAGCTTTCTTCACTGATTCAAGAAAAAACGTCGATTCAAGAAAAATCTAATGGTTCTATGGATGTCCTCTTAAGTCCAATTTCTGATTCCTCATGGGGACTTATCAATACCACGTCGTCGACACCTCTTGACATCATAACAAAGTCTGACAAAATGTCGCCTTCCTTTTCTTTTACATCATCCGTTTATGTTGAATCAATTAAAAATTCAGGACTATTTTCTACAATTAGTAATTTAGTTTCAGTGGACCCAAGTCTAAGAGAAAGTTTAATTTCCAATTTAGCTGGAGTTTCATCAGAAATATCAACAAAGTCGATTCTTCTTCCAAGCAATATTTACTTATCAACACAAAATTTATTAAGTTCAAGTTCACAGGCTGAATTGTCAGATATTCCTTCTACAACAGAGTTCCAAACTCTGTCAACAGAAACTCCATTATCATCAGCAGGACGAGCACTGAGCAGTGTGCAAGAGTCCTCGTCTTACTTAAAAGACAAACATAATCAATCGCAAGCATTCATTTCAACAGACTCTTTGCATTCTTTCAGTGAGATTGGACTTTTCATATCATCAAGTCAGTTTAACGTGGACACTTCCTCCAGCCAAATTGATGTAGTTACCTCGTTAAGTGAAATTTTCAGCCCGTCCTCCACTGTTATGTCTTCCAGTGAACGCAACGTAGGAATTTCCTCAAGCCCGAGTAACACGGTTACTTTCTCCAGCCAAACTGACACTGCAACCTTGTCCAGTCAAATTGACACAATTATTTCGACCAGTCTCATAGGCAATGTTATTTATTCCAGTCAAATGGACACTGTTATTTCCACCAGTCAATTAGACAATATTATTTATTCCAGCCAAATTGACACTGTAATTTCAACCAGTCAAATCAGCAGTGTTATTTTAACCAGTCAAATAGACAATGTTACTTCTTCCAGTCAAATAGAAAAAGTTGCTTCTTCCAGTAATTTTGACGGAACTTTTTCAAGCCAGATTGACTTAACTACTTCATCAAGCCTAATAGATCATATTACGTCTTCCATTCTTGACAAAGTAATTTCTGCCAACCAAATTGACACTACCATTTTAACCGGTAAAACTGACATTGCTACTACTTCAAGTCAGATAGGCGTTAGCATTTCATCAAAACAGATTGAAACTGCTACAGTATCTAGCCAAAGTGACATGACTAAAATTTCAAGAACCATTGACATTGCTTCTACTTTAGACCAGATTGACAGAGCCACTCTCTCTAGTCAAACTGCCATTGTATCCCCTTCTAGCAAAATTTCCATAATGCCCTCGTCAACTTATGTGATATCCACCAGTCAATTAGACACTGTTATTTATTCCAGCCAAATTGACACTGTAATTTCAACCAGTCAAATCGGCAATGTTATTTTAACCAGTCAAATGGACAACATTACTTCTTCCAGCCAAATACAAAATGTTGCTTCCAGTCATTTTGACAGAACTCTTTCAAGCCAAATTGACGTTGTTAACTCATCAAGCCAAATTGATCACGTTACTTCTGCCAGCCTTGACAAAATTATTTCTGCCAGCCATATTGACACTACTACTTTAACCAACAAAACTGACACTGCTATTACTTCAAGTCAGATAGGCGTTAGCATTTCATCACAACAGATCGACACTGCTACAATATCTAGCCAAAGTGACATGACTTATATTTCAAGTACAATTGACATTGCTTCTACTTTAGACCAGATTGACAGAGTCACTTTCTCTAGTCAAACTGCCATTATATCTCCTTTTAGCAAAATTTCCATTAAGCCTTCGTCGACTATAGAAATGCAAGAATCATCGTATATAACCGTGGCTGATTTAGAATCTAAAACCAGAAAATTTGATGCATCCTCTGATATTCTTAATCCCTCTCTAGGATTGACATCAACACGGAATTTTTATTCGAAATCTATAATTCGGAGTTCTGAATTTTCTAGAGTCTCTCCGTCTAACTTTGAGCAGCTTATTACGTCTTCAGCAATAAGTTCATCTATTGTTTTATCCACGAATGCTAGTCCATTTTCTTCGATTGTGCAGAAGCTATCCACTTATTCAGGAACTGTTCTATCTTCAGAGGTACATGACTCATCGCTTGCAATGGGCCAGAGTTCCATGGTATTTAATTCGGTATTAAGTTCCACTGAACCATCTTTCCAATCGGTTATTCAGACAGCAACTCAAAACCTTCAGTTAAGTAGTATAACAAGGGAAATTTCATCAGAGATTAAAAGCTTGAGTACTAAATTGACTATAGAAACATCCGGGAATTTTCAGTCTCAAACATCGGATGTTTTTCTCTCTTCAAGCTATTTGTCTACTTTTCTACAGTCTTCGTCTTCAGATATGATTTCCAACATTTTGTCTTATACAACAAGCTCTTCAGATATGCAACCTATTTCCAGTTATCAGGCAGTGGGATCTTCAGCAGTCTTATCAAGCTCTGGAATTGGTGTAAAAACAAGTCAGGCAGAGGAATCATCGTCAATTATTAGACGAAAAGCTAGCTCTGTTTTAGATATATCTTCTAGTGACTTTTTCGCCACTAAACGTGTATCATCAATACAATATGGGGTAACAACATTTACCCACTCCTTTTCGAGTGCACTCTCGTCTTCTGAAATCTACAGTGTCCCCAGATCGTCAATTTTATTATCAACAAGTTTGTTGGAACAACAGAGCACAGGAGAAAGTACATCTGTGTCAATCAGCATCATGCCAACATCGAGTGAGTTTATGGTAATGTCAACCAAACAAGACAATTTGAAAAGTTCTCTTAAATCGTCTTCGGTTTCTTCAGAGTTACGGCTATCATCAAGTGGCAAAAATATTATAACCAGTTATTCTTCAAACTTCTTTCGATCTTCATTGGTGTCAAGTAAATATTTCTCCGGAATGGATTCAATGACCACTGATTTATCCTCAAAAATGTTACACAGTACTGGAATAATACCTTCAGGTTTTCTCTCCACATCTCTATTAAGCACCAAACTAGGATCTTCAAGTTATGAATTGTCATCTGAAATAGCCAGCAGTGCATACTCACAAATTTCAGGATTGGAGATATCCAGGCTTTCAAGTTTGTCAGATAAATTATCTTCATCATCACAGGGTGTAGTACCATCAATAAGCACTTCAATGTTCTTATCCAGTCCATGGCAGATTTTATCTGAAACTTCATCCAAGCAAATGACATCCTCTCAAATAGCATTTCCAAATTCATTATTGACGATCTCAGAATCTTTTGTGGGATCGAATCTTTTGTCAACATTTACTCAGGAAAGCAGTATCAATAATAGTAATTCTTTAGAATCTTCAATATTTGTTACAGAGTCGATACATATTCAGTACTCTTTGGAATATTCAACAGAAATATCGTCTACAGTAAAGATTTCGAATATTGAGCAATCATCTCCAGTCTACTCTAAAACGTCATCATTTATTTTGCAAACATCAGGAACTTCAGTATTGACATCATCGACGACAAAAGAGTCATCTTCGATGTATTTTACTACACCTTCCTTAACTTTCTCCTCAGTAGCATCTTCCATAGTGACATTTTCGCCAAAAATAGAAAACACGTCAAAAATTGCAGAACCCTCTACTTTAAATTCTATGACGTCTTTAGTAATTGCGTCCTCATCGAAGTCTTCAACGCTTTCATCGTCGCCAATACAAGAAAACACCTCGTTTGTTGGTCAGCTAAATTCGTTGATTTTAGAGACATCATCATTAATTGACTTCACAGAATCGTCATTTGTTGTAACATCGCCGTCGTTAAAGACATCGAATATTGAACTTAGATCTTCTTCTGTATCAATTTCCACTTTTGAAAAAATACCAACTGTATCGCCATTTTCAACAATAGTTGAAAAGACTTCAATGATTGAGAAGTCCTCTTCATTTTATACTGAGGTTTCTTCCTTAATGACATTGTCGATTGAATCTAAGAGTAGGATATCTACTTCGATTCAGAAATCAATGAATACTAAATTGCCAGAAACAGATTCATATACTGTTTCACATCAATCCGAGGATGGAAAAACTAGTTCACCATTTTCTTCCCAAACATCGATATTATTATCCCCTACAGCTTCTTTATCTCCGATTTCAGATTACAGTTTCCAGTCACCCATTCCACACGAGTCATCGTTAATAAAAGCTTCTTCGATGGTATCTTCAGTATCGACAAGTTCGCAAATCTTGTCCTCATTTTCGAATAACATTTCAAAACAATTTTCGACAGACATAAATTTGTCTACGCAGTTGTTTTCACTAACAAGCTCTTTTACGTTGAGTTATTCCACTGATGCATCAAAAGCACTCACAGCTGGCTTCTCTTCTGCACAATTGCATATGTCTTCGCTTGAAATTTCTTCTTATAGCTCGCATTATGTGTATTCTTCCTCAAAATTTTTAGCTTCCTCTGTAGATTCGGCAACTTCAAGACAAGTATCATCCTTTTCATCCACTTCTGTTCCCGAGACATCAACTGGGTTACCGTTCCTGACTTCTTCAGAGCATTTGTCAGTGGTATCTAGTGTTGCACCACTTTTGTCTACTGTGAAGGGCACAGATACATTTGTGTCATCAACACCATCACTGATGTCATCATCGATTGAGTCATCGTTTATTTTGACATCAGACGCAGTTATCACCACACCCCGATCTTCTTCAGAAACATTCTCCGTTATGCCAACTTCTTCGTCATCAGCAGCATCGACAGCCAAATTGTACACATCATATGAGGATAACGTGTCAACATCGCCTTTACACAGCATATCAAATCTTTCATCTACAGTTAAATCAATGTCAAGTGAAATTCAGTTATCCACAAGTTCAATTTTTACATCATCTGATTTTGTTTCTGCTACTCCACATTCTTCGGCAGTATCCGGTGATTTGGTGTCTTCCTCAACAGCCTTACCATTCACCACCAGTACAATAATATCAACACCAGCTTCTACAGTCACAGATGTCCCAGCAACTTCTAGTGTAATCTCAGAAACGACTTCCCTCCCAACCACAACATCAGAATCAACAACCATTGCAAAGAGTACATCATCAGTTGCAGACATAACCACGACATCAGCGCCAGTTCAGATCGTATCCGCAAAACTACGAATCACCAGTTTGGATTGGAAGCCTGAATACACGGACAAAAATTCTGCTGACTTTCGGGCTTTGTACGATCTTGTCAACAGTACTGTAAGTATTTGAATATTTGTTCATTCTTTTGTTTTCGTACGAAATTGTGTCACTGAGTCATCTTTTAAATATTTTTTCAGCTTACCTACGCGTATAGCAGCAGTGTATATGGAGCACGTTACGTCACTGTTTCAGACATAGTCTTTAGGTAATTGTTTCATATCATTTCCACATTTTTTGATTGCCAGCACATTGAAAACTCAAAAATATTTCCTTTTCTTTGCAACTAAATTAGAAAAGGAGACCTGAAAAGCTGTTAGATAAACATGTTATTTTTGGTTCATTTAAGCATATCTTTGAGAGCAACACAAGGGACATGCACTGAAATTCATTTTCATTTTACCTTAAAAAATTTAAATGATATGGCAGATTTTGTCGGAAAAATATCATATGGTTATTTTTTTACTAAGAGTTTATGAAAACTTACGTCTACATTTTAGACAGGGTAGTATCATCGTGGAGTTTAACGTCAAGTTTTCCTCGGGAGAACCTATAGATACGAATGTTCTGAGTCAGGAAGTCAATAGTATGTCAACGCTCTTACCTCCACAGGTGCAGCTTGATACAAATTTTACCTCACACACAGGTAAGGTTTAATCCTGTATATCTTTCGTTGTAAGGCTGAACATGGAAATGATTATTGACTTCAGGCTCATTGATTGTACATATGTAATCAGAAATTGAAGACTTTTCCTTTTTAAACTCACCTCAACGAAGTTGGGGAATATTATGTAATACCCTCGGCGTCGGTGAAAAGTTTTTGGAGCAGATTTCTTTTCTAATAGTTCTATGCCCTATATTTAACAGATATGCATGAGCGATGCTTTTTGTATGTTTTATTATACCAGCCAGGTTTCAGGTGATGCATTTCCAGCCAGAGAATGACCAGATTTATGTTTTGGGAGTAGGTTAAAGTTTTGGAGCAGGTTTAATATTTGGAGCAGGTCTCAGTTCCAAGTAACTTTAAGCCATGAATTGACCAAACTTGCAGGAATGATATATCTAAGGATGCACACTGCTATATTTTCTTCAGATGCTGGATTTGACCTACATTTTCAACTTCAAGCCCTATATGGACCAAACTTACAAGGAATTTGCATCCAGGGATGCACATTATATAACTTGCTTCGGATGCTGGATATGACACCTACAATTTTTGGATGAGAAACCAGGCTAACGTGTTTGGAGAAGGTTCATTTCAGTTTAATCGCAAGCTCTTTCTGGTTCAAACTTGTATGAATTTAGATTCTAGGAATCGATGCACACTATCAGACTTCAGATTCTGGATTTGGCTACATTTTCCAGATTTTTAATCAGTTTTTTGGAGCAGGTACATTCTAGTGTAAATTAAAGTCCCATCTGGAGAAAACTTTAATGGATGATGCTTCAGGGATGCACACTACCAAACTTGCCTTGGATTTTGGATTTGACCCCCTTTTTCAGGATGAGTGACCACGTTAAAGGTTTTGGAGAAGTATCATTCAAGTTTCAATTTAAGCTCTTCAAAGAAAACATGTACTATATGGATGATACGTCTATGGATTCACGCTAACAGACTTACTTTAATTACAGAATCTGACCTATGCTTTCCGTATAAGTGACCAGGGCAAAGTTTTTGAGCATGTCCATTCCCAATTAAGTTCCAGGGCTACCTGGTCCAAACATGTATGAATGATGCATCAAGGGATGCATCCTAACAGACTTGCTTTCTATTCTACATTGTAGATCTGACTGCATTTTCTGGATGAATGACTAGTTTAAAGTTTTTGAACAAGTCCATTTCCAAGTAAATATAAGCCCGATCTTGACTAAAATTGCATAAATGTTGCATGTAGGGATGCAAACTACTACAAAATTAGTTTAGTGTGGGACTTTGCCTTACTTAAAGAAAATATTCGTTGAGGTGAGCTCTGTAATCTTGGATTACTTATGTTTAAATGTATTACGTCCAAACATTAATCAAAAGTATTTGATTATAGCTGTTGATGTATCAACAACTGAATCTGTAACAACCATGGCCCCAACAACTGTAGCTATGACAACAAAGTTGCTAACAACCACACCCATAATTACACATGATCCAACCGACAAACCGGAAACTACAAAGGTAACAACAGTTCCTGTGACAACACAAGTGACAACAGAATCTACAACCACTTCAAAATTCACAACAGAAAGTGTGACAACACCAATAACTGTACCTTTGACAACACAGTCCTTAACAACAGAGAGTCAAGAAGTCAATGACACCTCAACAGAGCAAACAACACTTCCTACAACTCATGATTTAACATCAGATATACCCTCCACGACTCTCCAATTCACTACTCCAGTTAACACAACTCGCTCTTTCACAACAAAGGTGGCTTTAACAACAGATTTAACAACAGAAAAGATGACAACAAATATAAGCAAGGAACCATTCACAACAACTAAAGAGCCTAGTGTACAAAACCAAACAGCATCATCAACAACATCAGACGTAAGTTCAACCGCCTCTTTTACAGAGAAGTCAACGACAATATCTCCATCAACAAGAGTGACTGAAACAACAACTCCCGAATTGTTAACAACACAAACAGTTACCACGGAACAGACCACTGTTCCTCTTTTCCTCAAAGAGTTTGATGTCACCATTCGAGTTTTGGGCGAGCCCTGGGACCCAAACTATGCAGTGCCATCTTCACAAAACTACGAGATACTGAACAATGCTTATAAAACCTTTGTAAGTAGATTTAAGCCATACAGACACAGACTTATTTTGTAATATACATGTAGGTTTTATGTTTGTGTACTTTGAGTTCAAAGAAATAAATGTAGAATGCCTCTTCATTTTCTTTGACAGCTTTTTAATGCTTATCGTTATGGTACATATGGGGATCAGTTCATGGATATCACGAATTTACAGTTCAGGTAAAGACACAAAGAACCATAATTAAGTATTCTACACAGAATATAAAGATATTCATTTTTAATCATATGTGAATAAGAACTGAATGGTGAGATTTAGGATGGAATGTTTTAATTCTCTCAAACATTTTTTTATCAGTTTATTGTTCTTAATTATTCATTGTTTTGAAGAATTAATGGATTAGATATAATTTATTGTTTATATATTTAATTGCTGATTTAACCATTCAATTTGTAGGGAAGGCAGCATTATCATGACGTATGTTATAATGTATCTAGGGATCGATCCCATTGATCCTCAGATCCTGGATATGATGGTCAATAATGCGTTTGCAAACGAAACTATTCCTGGCGTGACTATTGACAAGTCCTTTACCTCACATATAGGTAATAAAAAAAAAACAAAATCATCCTAAAATAGTGATTTTTTTGTTTATTTTTTTATTTTTGTTTTATTTGTTTTTGGTACGTTTTTTGAATAAGAAACATTGAGATATTAAATTTGCTCACATCAAGTAAGTTTTGCTTTATACTAAGGTAGTTTTAAAAACAGTCAAATGGATAAAAGGTTAACTGTGCAAAGGAATTGTGATCATGGATTTCATGCAATTTCTATAATTAAATTAAGGATATCAAATTTGATTCTTTTCCCAAAAAGCCTTGTAAATGATTGGAGATACGAAAAGTATGCAGTATCAGTGTTTTCCTGGTTTATCGATATCATCCGTTTAATAAAGTTAAAAAAAGAGGGAAAAGGCCATAATGACCTTTTCTAAAAGTATGCTCCTAGCATTTGGATTCCAAAGTGAAAGGATTAATATCTTTCAAAAGATATTAGATTTTAAATCAAGCTAATTAAGAAATGAATACTTATTTGCTTATCTTGATTTCATAATGGCTGTTAACATCTTCTTAAATCAAAGTTACCATTATGCATAACTATTTTTTCAGACATCAGACACACAACAGAGACTCAAACGGAGCAGACTGAATTTGAAAATAAATGTTTTATTAAAGTAAACAAGGCTTACATTCACAATATTTCTTGTAAAATAAAAACTTTTTCATTAATATTTGTTCATAACCATCATAACTTGCAAAAATAAAATATGACCCCGTGTTTTTCTTCTAGATATACAAAATATTCAGCAATAGTATCTATATAAACACATTTCTTAAATGATATCACTCCTTCACTAATTCTCTAGAAACATATTTTAGAAAAAAAAATGTTTCTTATTTTTAAAAGCAAAGAGATCACAGTTCATATTTAGACTTCGAGAATTGTTTTACATTTGACCAAATTTTTAATGCTATCTTTGAGTTTTTATTTACAAAGATGTAAAACGTGCTGCCTTTTGTATAATATTTTTAAACAGTATTAGTTTAAGTTAATATTACAAACTTTTCTCTTAGTGTAAAAAGGTCAATTTTGCTTTCACTTGGAAACAAGGCATGTGTCACCCTTATTTCTCTTTAATATTTTTGTTTTTTATCGTTGTATATATCAAAAATATACTTCATGAAAAATTGCCATTACAAAACTTTTAGATGTGTACCTTTTTAATGCAAGTCTTGAAACTCTATCTTCGCCCTGAGATATACAGATATTCACTTTGAATATTCATGTTTTACAGAAATATTACACGATACATCTACAATCTCACCAATTCCTGATTTCACAATAACTGTGCCGACAACAGAACAACCAACAACAGCAGCTGTAACATCAACTGTTGCAGATAAACTAACAACGGACACTATTATAACACAGCAAACGACAAAGAAATCAACTGAGGTTATTACAACAGATCAGACAAGGCAGACAACACCGCAAACAACAGGGGTTCCAGCAACAAACACAACAACAGACACTGTAACAACAGAACAAACAAAAAATCTAACAACTGGAGAAACAACAACAGAAAGAATGACAAGTCAGACAACGTTATTGATAACAACACACCAAAACTTAACCTCAACAACAGATGGTATTACAACACAACAAACAACACAGAAAACATCTGAGGCAAACCAGACGACCGAGGCTATAACACCACAAACAACAAACAGGACAACTGAGGCTTTAACTACACAGCAATCAACACAAAGGTCAACTGATGCTATAAGTACAACATTGATGACAACAACTCCTCCCGTATTGAGTACTATAGATAGCACTGAACAGAACTTGGAAGTCACTATTCGTATTCTTAGTGAGAACTGGAACCCTTCTTATGCAGATCCTGATTCAGATAGCTACCGCAATTTAGTTGTGACATACTACACATTTGTAAGTATTATCTATCTTTAAATATTTTCTATTGTTCTCCATGTTTTAGATGAATGTTAAAAACCTTTCTATTTTATTTCATCATTATATATTGACTACATTTAAAGTCAAGATAAAATCGAACAAGATCACAAATGTCTATTTTTCTTGAATAATTTTGCTTATTCTATTTCCCTATACATATAATATACGTATGTCACAACGCTCAGTCAAGCAGATAGTTAATTCTACAGTATATACATGTATATATAATCTGTGAAATTAAAGGTGTTTTGATTACTTATTAGGTTAATTTATGTTCAGTTGTTTGTGGAATGCAGGATAAAACTCTCTGAGTGAATTTTATAGCCAATAATAATGGCAATACAGACATAAAAAACATGATGACCTTATATGACACATCCATGGTTGTAAATACTGTTTATTCTACCGAAAGAAAATAATTTATTGTGATATATATTCTGAATAATTAATTACAATTTATTTATTTTATTAGCTTTATGACGCCTACTCCTTAGGCACCTATGGTGACAGATTTGGGGGATTCTCAAGTGAATTTATATTTAGGTATTCTATAAACATTCAAATAGATAACAGAGCATATTTTATCAAGTGATTATTGTTTTATGGCGTGATTATTTAGGCAGTGCCTACTGTCCAAGCCAATTATATTTATAACACAAAACAAAAATTTACAATTAAATTTTTTTTTATGAAAGTACATGTAATTTACATATTTGAAGATATTTAAAATATAGCTATTTTCCAAAAAGAGAAATGGGGAATAGTCATACAGGAAATCAAAAACCCTGCAATTTTTTTTCTTTTTAGCCAGGGTAGCGTCATCATAAACTATGCTGTATCATTCCTGGGTAGTCAACCTGTGGATGTTCAGATTTTAAATTCGGAAATCAACAAGGTGTTCCAGGATGGTACCTTTGGTCCAGATGTGGTTATTGATCCCAACTTCACTTTTCATAAAGGTAGGAAGTTTGGGAAATAGTTATTATTTGTAAAAGTTGTTGGTTTTATTTTGGAAGCTAACCTTGTATCCTTGCAGTTATAAATTGATATACAAACGATGTCCTTAAAATTTCTCTTTCATTTTGATCGAAATGAAAGTGTCCTAAAGCTTACGTAAGCAAAACATAAATTAATCTTCATTAGACTGAACTGTTTGTTTGTATGATTCAGTCTGCTCTGAAGGGTACATTATTTTTTCGGTCGAGGTTTTTCCATGTATTCCAGTATATGTTAGATACATATAATACTCATATATTAAAAGATGATTCATGGGGGAGAGCTTATAGGTTACTCCAAGAATTGTTCTATCAGAAATTTTGTTAAACAGATATATCAGACGGATCAACTCTTAAATAAAAAAATGAAATGATTTCCGTAGTTCTTTACCGCTAAGAAAAGGATATATTTTAATACTATTTTATAGTGCTAATTTTTCGTTACCAGAAACAAGCGTTGGGCCTATACTATCAACAACACAGATACCAATTTCATCAGCACAAACAACTCAATCATCATATTCAAGTAAATCAACAACTACTGGTGCAGTCACTCAGGAATCCACAACAATCCGTAGCCAGGAAACAACCAAATATCTGTCAACAGAAGAAGTGACAACTGTTTCTCAAACTAGTAAGGAAATGTTAACAACAACCCCTCAAATTCTGACAAACGCAACAATACCTCTTTCTACCACAAATGTTGCCACTGAGTCTCCATCTACAACAGCTGGACCTACAACAACATTGAGAATTCCTGAAGAAGTGACAAATGCCACAACAACTGATTTTGTTAGCACAACTCGTGGTGGAACAACAAGTTTCAAAACAACAACTAAAACCCCTGTTACTGGAACAACAGTGGACGAAATTACAGATATTTTTAATTCAACAGCATCACAGACTATTACATCAACACAACCTATTACGACTGAAGCTCCATCAACAATTTTATCAACTACACAAGCCTCAAAAACCACGGAAGCTGTAGTTACAACTGATGGACAAATGACTGACGCATCAACCACAACACCCTATATGCAAACAACTACACCTGTTAAAACAAATACTCCAATAACAACAACCCAAACAACATCAACTAATACAACAACTCAATCTCCCATACCGTCTCCATCTTCAACAACAGTCGGAAAAGTTGTAACAACAGAAGCTTCCTCAACAACTAAGGTTTCAACAACTTCAGGACCATCAACAACAATATCTCAATCTACAACAACTCATAAATCAATTACTGTGACATCTCCAGAATCAACTCAAGCACCAACAACACTGACTCCCACAACAACTCAAGCTTCCACAACTACACAGGCACCAACAACAACCAAATCAACGGTTGAACAAACAGTGGATGTTTCCTTGAGAATCATCAATAAAAGTTGGGATTCAAATCTGGCTGATCTAAACTCTGTGGAATATCAGTCGCTCAAGAACCAGATCTATCCTAAAGTAAGAACTTTTTTTCAAAATTGCAAAATTTAAAACGGACAAAACTCAATAAGAAACAAGCCAAACCTTCAGATTTTTTTACTTCTCTGTTCAAAGCTTGTATATCTTATTTTGGTAGGACATATGTTCATTTAATTAAATAATGTACATTTATTTCCTTAAAAAGTTATGCTGAAAGTTAATGATTTATTATATTTTAGCTGCTGGAGATATACATGGCCAGTGTTTACAAAACTAGAGTTGTTGGAATTGTGGATATATCGTTCAGGTATTCTCTTTCTCTCTCTCTCTCTCTCGCACACACACTGTGTGCGTGTATGTATATGTGTTTTTTTCTATCTGGGGGGACTTGAACTGTTTATTAATGCATATAAATGTGTATTTTAGAGAGGGGAGTGTGATTGTTGATTTCACCGTACAGTTTTCCGGAGTTGCTCCAGTTTCACCGGAAGAGCTGAATACAGTCGTAAACAATGCTGTAGATAATGGCAGTTTTGGAACTGAAATTACTATAGATCCAGCCTCAACATCACACAATAGTACGTATATTTATTTCATATTCTTAAGTTAATATTTAGACTATAATAAAATGCATTTTGATAGGTATACACTCTTCTTAATTTTGTCATGCATTTCAAGTATCTTACAAAAAAGGGAATGATGTTAAACCAACAAACAAATAAAAGAGGGGGGGGGGAAATAATTTTTTCCTTTGTGTGATAATAGTTTATAGATTTCCAGAAATAAAAAAACATTTTGTCCTATAATGAATGATTTTGAAGCAAATGACGGACAACTTTCAATGGTTTTTTTTTCTGCATTAGATGTTCCTGCTGTATCAATCGCCACTAAAGAATCAACAACTAAAGCTCAAATGACAACACAGGCTCTTAAAACAACTCAAGCTCCAACATTTACACAGACACCAACAATAACAGAAGGAAAAACTATTACTCAAACTTCAACAACTACACAGGTACCAACAACTACTGAAGTCCAAACAACTCAACCTCCAACAACTACACAGGCACCAACAACAACTGAAGCCCAAATAACAACTGAAGCTCCAACAACTACACAGACACCAACAACAACTGAAGCTCCAACAACAACTCAGGCATCCACAACAACACAACCTCCTACAACTCAAGCTGCAACAACAATTGAAACATTCACAAAAACTCAGACTCCAACAACAACTCAAGCTCGAACAACTACACAGACACCAACAACAACTGAATCTCCAACAACAACTCAGGCACCCACAACAACTCAGGCACCCACAACAACACAAGCTCCTACAACTCAACTTGCAACAACAACTGAAGCATCCACAACAACTCAGACTCCAACAACTACACAGACACCAACAACAACTGAAGCTCCAACAACAACTCAAGCACCCACAACAACACAAGCTCCTACAACACAAGCTGCAACAACACTTGAAGCATCCACAACAACTCAGACTCCTTCAACAACTCAAACTGCAACAACTACACAGGCAGTAACAACAACTAAAGCTCCAACAACAACTCAGGCACCCACAACAACACAAGCTCCTACAACTCAACCTGCAACAACAACAACTCAGACTCCTTCAACAACTCAAACTGCAACAATTACACAGGCAGTAACAACAACTAAAGCTCCAACAACAACTCAGGCACCCACAACAACACAAGCTCCTACAACTCAACCTGCAACAACAACTGAAGCATCCACAACAACTCAGACTCCTTCAACAACTCAAACTGCAACAACTACACAGGCAGTAACAACAACTAAAGCTCCAACAACAACTCAGGCACCCACAACAACACAAGCTTCTACAACTCAAGCTACAACAACAACTGAAGCATCCACAACCCCTCCAGCACCTACAACAACTCAAGCTGTAACAACTACACACAAAGCAACATCATCTGAAACAATTACAACCACTCAAGCTCCCACAACAACTCAAGCACCTACAACAACTCAAACTCCAACAACAACTCAAGCTTCCACAACTACACAGACACCTACAACTGAGGCATCCACAACAACTCAATCACCAAAAACTCAGGCACCCACAACAACACAAGCCTCTACAACAACTCAAGCATCTACAATAACTCAATCATCAACAACAACTCCAGCCTCAACAACAACTAAAGCTCCAACAACTACACAAGCACCAACAACAACCCAATCAGCTATTGAAAAAACAGTTAATGTTTCATTGAAAATCATCAATAAAAGTTGGAATTCAAACCTGGCTGATCCAAACTCTGTAGAATACCAGTCACTCAAAAACCAGATATATCCTAAAGTAAGAGTTCTGTTTTCTCAAGCATATAAATATAAATATATAGAGGACAAATTACATTAAGCAAAATCTAACATTAACCTTAGAGCCTGTTTATTTGTATCATATCTTCAAAACCATAGTTTGAAAAAAATAACATCTCTTCATTTAGCTATAGGATGTATTTATTGATTGTAGTTAATGTAATTAATAATTGATACTGTTGATTATAGAAAAATTTTATTTTAGCTTCTGGAGATATACTTGGCCAGTGCTTACAAAAATAGAGTCGTGGGAATTGTGAATATATCATTCAGGTAATCTCTCTCTCTCTCCCTCTCTCTCTCGTGTGTTTGTGTCTGTGTGTTGTATATCTACCAGTAAAAAATTGTTCATAAATGTGTATTTTAGAGAGGGGAGTATTCTTGTTGATTACACCATACAATTTTCCGGAACTGATCCAGTCCCACCGGAAGAGTTGAATACGATAGTGAACAATGCCGCAACTACTGGTAGTTTTGGACCGGAAATTACAATAGATCCCGCCTCAACATCACATAATAGTAAGTCTGATTTATTATGTTCTCTAAATTGTTATAATAATTTACCTTGACTTTGTCATTTTGTGCTTTTTGAAAGGTTCTCACTTTATTTAATGTTGTCATTTATTTATTTCGACACCATATTTTTATATTAGATTCTTCATATTTTCATTGGTATAATAAAAACTGAAAAGCTATATTCTGTCCTCAAGTTATCTAGTGACAATGCATTTTTACTTCAAAAGTGATTTTAATACTAAGGTCACACAGCTAATTGACCTTTGAACTTTATCAGAAATCCCTGCTGTACCATCCACCACTGAAGAATCGACATCCGCTCCCGAAACAACGACAGAAGTCACAGCCGCCCAGTTTTCTGTCCCTAACTGGGGCATTGCGGTGATTGTCTGCGGGGCTGTGGTTCTTATCTTTTTGTTAGCCATGATTTGTGTCCTGGTGAGTAAAAAGCTATTTATTTTGGAGAGGTGGGCCTTAAAAAGTTCAGGGGTGGACAAAAATGTCATAGTGCATGTAACCAGTCTTTCCATCTAAAGTGTTTCTTCCTTTAAAAAACATTTTGAACTTCATCTAATTTCCTGACACTTATTGTCAATTTTATTATTGGACATTAGAAATATCCTTTATATATCTAAAGAAATAAAAAATCTGGTGATAGTATGATTTCATTGTAGGACCTCTTTACAAAGACCAAATTGCTGAATACTTAAATTGATTAAAATTTTTGTTAATGAGATTGAATTATACATATCATTTTATGTAAAGTTTAGAGTTTTGATAATGCTTATTTTAATTTCTCTGTTTAACCAGTGCTCAAGGCGACATACAAAACAGAAGTACCGCATGCCAGAAGACCCGGATGATATCGGATATATCCGGAAATCGGCAGGAAGTGAATTTGCTTACGATAATAATATACCAAAGGAGGCCATGACAGTTGATGAGGAGATCAAACCTCCTTCACAAGTCATACATTTGAAGAATTCTGATCTGCAGCAAAACCCAGCGCCGGAAGTTCGGCAAAATGGAAACACGCAAGCGCAAGAAAATGATACAGTGAGTATAGGATCTGTTTCTTAAGGTTATTGCCATCCCCACCCACTGTTTGTTAAGTTTTTCCTAAATCCATGTCCAAAGAGAGATACATAGACATGTCCATTTCATTAACCAATTTTTTTTACCAAAATCTATCGAAATATTTTGTTATCATCTTTCAGAATGCGAAATTGTTTAAATCTCATGATGGAAATATGTATACGTACGCATGTTGTTTTCAAGCACAGATAAATATATTGTAGAAATGTATTATATATTTTCTTACATACATTGCGATTCATAACATTTAAAAAATAGTTAAATGAAAGCCACTATCAATTCTAATTGTAGACCATTTTCTTTGATACCGAGGAATATCCGTCAGACGAAAGGCATCCGCCATCTGACCCTATAAGTTCTGACGAGGTCAATATGGCAGCTTCTCTATATTAAACACAAAAAATACTTTAAGGCGCATTTACCCTCTGATAAGAGAGTTAATTTTCAATGGGATTAGTAACTATTATTCTGATGTAAAATTAACAACTTTAAAAGTCATTTCTTTCAAATTTTGCGCCACGGGGAATGTTGAAATTAATTGCATTTTTTATAAATTAGAGTTTTTTTGATAATCATTAGCATTTATTAAATCACAGTTTTTATATCATAATGAATGATCAGAGGGATGATGAACCTTGAAAGAAATAAATTTCATTTTATAAAATTGATTTCAAGTGACATAAATTGATTTTCCTAAGCAAGAACGAAAACTATTATATTCTTAAACGATATGGCTTTCAATTTAGATTCAGCTGCAAATAACAGATAGCAAAGATAGACAAGGCGGCGGGGCCAATAGTAATGATCAAGAGGTGAATATGATAGCTTCATAGAAAGATAATTAGATGTTTTGGACTTGTTTCACTTACATTAATTTAAAGAAGGAAATGTCTGTTAAAGACTAACTTAATATCCATTTTAAAATTCAAATAGATCAGATCTAAAACGAAATAGAAAAATTTTCTAAATAGCCATTTACTCCTGCATGATTTGGTATAAAACGTCATTTTGGTATATATTTTAGCAATCAGAACTTGATGACCATTTGTAGAGAGTAAGTGTCGGGGATTTTTTCGTGTGCTTTAATAACCAATCTCAAAGTTTACTTTTTTTATGATATATTCGATTTTAGCTAACATTAATTGATTTCAGTTTACTTTTCTAACACCTCTCTTATTTCGTTAAGATTAACCAGTCTATTCTATCACTAATTTAAGCATTAACTGACACACAAGGTATATCTAGACTAGCAGAAAGACTTCAATTTCAGCTGCGGTGAAAATAATCTGAATTTATGCCGATTGAAGTGGAGAATGCATATTTCTACTTCTAGTGACTCACATACAACTGTAACTCGTGTTAATACATACATATGCATTCGCTTGAGACTTCATACATAAGGAAAATTCTAGTTGATATTTTTTTTTTCTATGCCCCCCCCCCCTCCCCCATTCCCCATCACCACCTCCTCTTGCAATATGAAGCTTTGTTTTGATAGATGTTTTTATGAATGCATTATTTAAAAGCAAATTGTTTTACCAGATACTAAATACGACCAAGTTTTGAAGGTATATGTAAGTATAGGAGTAAGAATATGTAGGACTCGGAACGTCAAACTAATGCAATGTTTGTTGTTTTTTTTTTTCTGAGCGTGCTGCAGCTAACATAATTCAAATCCTGCATGTTCATTGAATTTTAACATTATTTTCTGCATTATATATTACACAGGAAGCTGATCGCTATAATTTTTTGTTATGCGCATGCCCATTTCGAGGTCTTTGTGTAAACGTCCTTTTCGGAACGTGAAGGCTTTATGTGTTGATAAATGTCAGTGCTTGATTGTAAAATAAGAAAGTTCAACCGCAGATTGAAAACGGTGAACCAGGCTATGTAATCCATCTATGTCTGTGGTGTATGTGAAATTTATTGTTCGAACACGGGACTTTAGATTATAATCCGCAATACCAGCATTAATTTTCAATTCTCTGGAAAGAAGGGGCAGTCTGTGCACCATTTATCCCTTAAACTTCTCGTACACAAAAAATTCTAAATATTAAGAATGTAACGATTCTCTTACGAACTTGATTTCGTATTTTCTATCTATATATTCCCTTTGGAAATGGCTTTCATTAAATTAAAATATCTTTCACAGTAAATCTTTCAGATACGAAAAACTGACTTTTCATACGCTGTACAACTCTTCTATAAAATAGATGCACTTTTATTCTGTAGTACTAAGCACTGAGTGACATAGTATCAGTAAATGAAGTATGCATACATAAAATATACAGAAAATATACTCATAACATACAAAAGAAATAATACACTTTAGTTGATATATAATGTTATACAGTATGTTGGCTTGATTATGTTAATGTATTGCTGAAACAAGATAACACGCACAGCTTTGTTTTGGATTAATGAATCACTTCAAGCGTGTATAACTAACACTTAGCAGTTAAGTATTCCATTTAACGTTAAAATGCGCATTTTAAGACCATTTGTTCAGATAAAGAAAAACTGAAGACCATCATACTCTGATTTTAGCAAATCTGTTATTAATAGCAGTTTCATGTAAAATTTTATAGTCCAAACTGTATTATATAATTTTCTGCTGTGGGGCTCACCAGAACTGGTTATTATTCTGTCATGGAATCGACAGTCACGAGCCGATCCTTCCTATGGAATAACTTTTGAGTCAGTGAATAATTTTTCACAGCATGTTATTCAATATGGGATGTATTGTTTTTCTTTCAGGCTGAGGTGATTGACACAGATAGTTACACCGGAAGTGATGAAAAACCTCATAGCGAAACGGAATCAATGGAATTAGATGAAAATATGTTTCAATCCATAAAGGATTTCCCTAAGACTAAATACGATGAGGAAAAAGACATATGGCAAACACATCTATAGATCATGTGATATCTTACAAAGTCGTCATAAGTTGACACTCAAGTAAACACTGCCATTTGCAAGTCTGTATTGCAGTTTACGTATTTGTGACGTAGGTGGACTATCATGACGCCAGAGTTTAACCCAAAGTCACGTGACCAGTGCTTTGATACAGTGCCTATGCAATATTTCACGTTCCTCAGTCCAAGAAAAACTTGTATTATCAGATTTGAGTGTTCTCTCATGATATTATTAAATCTTTTTATATATCAAGATGTGTGACATATAATCAAAATATGGAGATTATTATTTAGGGTATTATTTTTCAATTTTTGTATTATTGTCTATGAGTGAATATGATGTATTTACATTGAACGAATGCTGATGCGAGAGAGTAACTTGTTCTTGCTAGCTATGGTATATGGAAACGCTGATCTTGCAAAGAGTTGACGTTCATTATATTTATACAGATTTATGTGTGTGTGATGCGTGTTCATTTCGGTTACATAATTTGAAAAAGAAACAAGTATGAAAATTTTGTAGCTTTTGAAGATTCTTATCAATATGTATCATAATCTGTCACCATGATTCGTCTCAGATATTCGGTATGTTGAGTACCTTAATATTGTCTCGCACTTTCACTGTCCACTAGTCATTTGGACACATAAAGGGATAATAGAAAAAATGGTTTTGTTAATGAACGAACCATGTTATTGTAGTCTGTGATAGTGATCCATAACATTTGTCTTTACTTGTATGTGTCTGATCATGTCTCACCAAAATAACATTTAGGTCTCGTAATGTCTCGATTATATCACGTGGCTCGTATTATGAACTGAGAAAGAGAAACTTGCACGATTTCAATGTGAAGGAAACGTGTGCTATATTTTTATTCGGGCATTTGTTCTATTTCCTTGTATTTACAAAATAATGTTAAGTAAAATGTGTTTGTAAGACATTGTGTATTTAAGCGTGTGTTGTTTTATTGATTAAAGTAGCTATGCAACAAATATATATTTATATAAGCAATAACAAGTCAGGGTATCATTGTGACGTCATTCTTTGCAAAACAAAAAAAGGAAAAAAAGTTGTGATGTCTTTAATGTACATAATGCTACATAGATTACAACGAACTATGCGTGCTATTTCAAAAAGACAAGTTTGCTTTATGCCTCCTTTGTTACATGAGAGTAAATTGTGTATGTATGTGGTCATGTTTTTGCCTTCAAGAATGATAACACTAATGTGAACTCTTTGTAAGGCTTTTTTGAGTGCAGATGTACTTTATTACTCTTTATATGCCCCAGAGTGCATGTGCAGATATATGTTTGAGAGAAATTATCTTGAGATTTCATCTATATAATTATATATTTATACACTGAGATTTAAATTTATAAAGAATGAAAATATAATTTACTCTCTTTGTTTTCATTGGCTGCCATATAATCAGGAGTTGATGAACAGTAAATTTGTATAAGCTAGGCCTCTCGCCAAAATTTAGATTCACAATAGTTAAGGTTAAAATGTAAATGCAGACTTCAAACTAAATTAAGAAAATTAATATACTCCGTTATTATAATTCAATAAGCAATTTCAGTTAAATCAAAAGGCAGTCTCTGACGAGATTGTAGCTCTGCTGGTTAGCCTTATGATACTGTTTGTAGCAGATGATAAAATTTATTTTATACGATTTTTGTTGACAGATTTGTGATTTTTATGTTAAACACTGAACTGAGTGTTACTAAAATTTGACCAGAACTGTATGAGGGATAAAATTTTTAAAGACTTTTTAAAAATTTCTTTATAATGGATGATACACAGTGATTTATTAATAAACTTAAGTTTAAATTATCCGTGTAAACAATTTACGTGTTGTCCTAGTTTATCTATTGCAATAACAGCAATTATAGTAAATGGGAAATAACTGCAATTTGAATTCAGTGCAAGAATGTCAAGAATGAAGAAGACATTGATATTTCGTGGGGGGAAAATACCTTGACTCGGTCACTTTCAGTGTCCAATATCACTTTCTGATTTCTATCAAATAAAAAAGATATAGATCTAGAGGATATTCAATGTTTTGTAGATGAATATGGAATTTATTTCACGAGTGGGACAGGATTTATATATATATATATATATATTCACGAGTGCGAAACACGAGTGAAAATATTAAAAAAAAATCCTGTCTCACGAGTGAAATAAATTCCATTTTCATCTACAAAACATTGAATTTTCTGTTTATTACATTTTTTTTTAATTTTCTCTTTGCCTCTGTCTTTTCTTAACACAGTGTCATAGGCTTGACGTCATAGTTGAGCGATTTAGACGTCATAGCTTACCAGGTAAAAACATTACATAGCATGGATTTTAGCAACATATTTGGGAAGAAATTTGCAGTTTTAGCTCTATCAAGATGGTTAGTTACTATCTCTATCTTATGACAGGCCAGAAATTATTTTTTACTTGCTTTGATATCCTTTCACACTGTGAGAGAATATCACTTTTATTCAATAAATAAATCACAGTATTTCACTGTTGAAAATGTAATAAACATGTATGCCTTAATATGAATTATATATTGAAGAGATTTATATTAAATTGTCTAAACTTTCAAGTAAAAAGACTCTGGATCGATATATTTTCCGATGTCCGACAGAGTGTACATAGTCAGATATGATGCAATAGGTTTGATTTTGAAATTATGTTTTTGCAGATTTCTATTTGAAAAATTAAGTATGACAAAAATTAATCACCAATATACTTAATAAGCATGCAATACAAATGGAGTGTCTGATACGACTAAGGAAATAGAGAGGCTTAACGGGACAATATATACACTAATACAGGGGAAAAGAGTAAGGTTTTTAAAAAATTTTTTTTTTAAAGCTGAAAAATATAAATCGAATTAGCGTTAAGATCGTCAACTTAGTGAATTTATAAATCTATACGAACGTACAGTAGGTAATGTATAATTCACAATGATAACAAGAGGAGAGGGTGCTATATATGTATCTTAGATAATACATTCGGAACTTATCGCCTTAATCATTATTAACCTCCGTAAACATCCGATGCAGTACAGATGATATACCGTCTCTTCTCCAACCTTTGATCACCTGGCGGTAATTAGATTACAAAATGGAGGTCCACAATGTGTCCTGGTTAAGGTACGGATTTCCTCTTTCTAAATAATTTTGTTCTTCATTGCGGAAAAACATATTATACTGTTGCTATATATTTATTCACTTATCTACAAATTTATTTAATTATTGCGATATAGTCCTTGTTAAATTTAAGTAGTTCATGGTACATGTTTTAATAAGTGATTCTCATAAAATAATAAATTTCAGAGATGGATGATCAAAACAACGATACATTCATAATGGATTCATTCTGATTATATTTTATATATTGTTTATTATAATTTCACGCTAATCATACAGTATCACATAATGGATTCTCAAAGAAATTGAACATGTAATCTTTTTGTGTTCAGTAATGCATAGCCCTGAAGAAAAAAAGTGGACTCATCACACATCCATCGTGGGGAATAATGATCGTGGGTCACCCTTACCCACGAATTTACAAACCTTACCCACGAATTTACATCCCTTACCCACGAATTTACATCCCCACGAACGATATCTTTTTCAAAGTAACGGCTCATTGAATTTCTGTATTTATATCATTTATACTTACCAAATTACCTCTCCACAAAACCAGTAAAATTTTGATCGCGTACGAAATAGATCCAATGCTTCCGAGGTATTTTCATTGTCTGATATAATGCTAAAATTATTCAGCCATCTCTGGTTTTCTGTGAGTGATGTGACTTTTATTTTATCTTGATAATGTGGATTAAGATTTTTGAAACCAATCTGAATGCCTTGTATGAATTAATACATCATCTACATCTATCATGAATATCATGGCGAGCTGTTGTTATATCACTTTATTTAGCCCAAGCACTTCTTGTACTTTCAATTTCTAATATATTTAATTTTTATTTTTAGAATTCTACGAAATTCGTATTTTAATGAATTTATTTTGAAATCACAAATCTTACATTGAACACTGACAGATAGCGTGAACTTTCAAATTGTCCAGAAAAGAGCATTGTTGATTACACACTGATAACAGTGATGACATTGTTGTACCAGCTTGGTGGCGGATCTAATTTTTTAAAAACTGCAAGACTCGTATATCTTTAAAAGACATTAATTTTCTAATCTATGTCAAATAGTTCACGACAGATAGGTTTATCAAGCACTGAAATAAACTATTATCGTTTATCTTGATCCAGGTGTGGGACTTTATTAATATTAGGTCTTATATCACGGGTATCTGCTGATCTTCCTCCACACGGACTGGACACAACTGTGTGTAACCCCTCAACGTTAACAAATGGAGGTCAGTGGTGATTTATTGTATCTGCCCATTCATAGATACAATAATTTAATACAATATACAATACTATAACTTTCAGGTAATTTTAATTCATGAAATAATTTACATCAGTTAATGAAAGGCTAGCAGCTAATTTATAGATTTCATAACCAGGGATAAAGAGCAGTGAAACACGAATATGTAGATTCAATATTTTTTAATGCATAGTCTTAAAGTAGAATGTAGATCAATTATATTCTATACCTTTTTTTTTGGGGGGGGGGGGGAGATGTTTTAAAGGGTAAAGGGTTATCTTTTGTCTGAATGAAACTGGTGTATTTTTTTCCATATACAACAACAAACTAATTTGATTCTGAGTGTAAATGCACAAAGAATTACATTATAGAGAAATAAAGAGGTATCCTCTCTCAAATCATTACAGTTTCATTTAATAAATAAAAAAATCATTCAATTAGGAAACTAGTCACAATTTCATCAGTCTGAAAGACAAATTTTCAAAAACAATTAATAGACTTCACTACATGTATTGTTGTGTGCTAAATCATGTGTTGGGTATGGGTCCTTTATTAATTACAGGTCTTGTATCAAAACCTACACTACCAAATACATACAGTGTGAAAGTGGAGTGTAACTTTGCCGATAAGAGTCAGTCAATTGATATATCCGAGTATTATGATTACCCAAACCAGCGGGCTACAGTTTATGAGGAGGAGTTGGGTCTTCACGTCCAAGGCATCTACTCATATAATACCAACGAACTCTTCACTATAGAGGACCAACTCAGTAAGTACTCAAAAAATACAAACTTTGTAAGTACTCATATAATACCAACTCAGTAAGTACTCATATAATACCAACTCGGTAAGTATTCATATAATACCAAAGCTCTTTACCATAGAGGACCAACTCAGTAAATACTCATATAATACAAACTCAGTAAGTATAAATATAATACAAACACAGTAAGTACTCATATAATACCAAAGAACTCTTCACCTTGGAGGACCAACTCAGTAAGTACTAGTGCTGATGTAATACAAACGAACTCTTAACCACGGAGGATCAACTCAGTAAGTACTCATATAATACCAACGAACTCTTCACCTTAGATGACAAACTCAGTAAGTACCAATATAATACCAACGAAATTTTCACTATAGAGGACCAGCTCAGTAAGTACTCATATAATACGAACGAACTCTTCACCTTAGAGGACTATCTCAGTATGTCTTTGGAATTCATTAAGAAAGAAGAACTCATTTTATATATATGTAATCGACAAAGTCTTTGAATACTTTGTATACCAAACTCATTGAAAACCAGCTTAGAATTAAAATCAGCTTAAAATTGTTGTTTGTCTGTCTTTATTATGATTGATAACAGACTTATAAGTACTAGATCGGTATATTGTATAATGAGGTCCCCGCAGTGGAGAAACAACTAACATAACCCCTCAGAAAGATCGATTTCTCTATCAAAAGAAATCCAAATCAATAGTTAGAAATTTCCTTCAAGTGAAATTTCTGATGTTGAGTTAAATTTTCGCTCCAGATACTTGCAGCGTGGCACAGTTATCCTCGGATTCCGCCGACAACTGGCTGTTTGGCTACAAAACAGGCAGCACCAATCCGAATGTCCCAAAAATGTTCAGCGCCTACGGCGCGCTTCATTTTGGCGGGAACCAGACAGAACAGTATATGGGTACCGCCGTGGTGCGTGGAATGCTGGTCGACCAGTGGAAATCTTGTCTGTACTGGCCTAACATGGACGCCACCATGACCGTTAACTGGTATTTCACAAGTAAGATGGAGATTATGACGTCCGAGTGATTTAATTTGAGCCTTTTGGGCTATTATTTTCAGAGTAATAATTCTAAAGAAAAATATATTTTAAGAATGAATCTTCGTAACACTGCTTTCTCGCCCCTTTTTAAATGCAGAATTTTACCTTTTCAAATCAGAACATTGTTAAATTATTGCTAAAGTCTTCAAGTATAGTCTGTATAGATACTCATAAAAGATTTTTTGGGGAAAGAGACTTTCAATATACACATTATATCGATTAAATAAAATCGTTTCCTTCACTGTAAAATCCCGGTTTCGCCATTACAGCTATGTAGGTCATTGTATTATTTGAATGAGAAGGCGGAGCGTCTATCAAGCGTGCGATTAGTAGGAATACATTAGCGTGTGTTCGAGGTGTACTAAGTTTTATAATTAACTGACACCTGAAAAGCCTTTTTTCATGCTAGAGACCGACAAAATATAAGCATACATTTTTAATTTGGCTGGCTTAACTTTGTTTTTTTTTCTGCTTAACTTACGAGTCGTATTTGAAATGATTTACTAGAAATTCGTTAAATTATTTATACACACAATGGAATTTGGAAACAGAACGTATAATGAAGGATACACTATTTTTCATACTTTGAAGAAACTTTAAAAAGAGAGAGAGAGAGAGATAATTAATCCATTTAAGCTTATTACATAATTAGAAATTTTTCATACATATATATAATTTTGCAAAATCCGAGTGCTACAACAAATACACGTAGGCGGTTGAATTATGATATAAATCTACACTCAGTGTATAAAGAATAGATAGTTAAGAAAGTGAAAATTTAAAACGTCAATTAAACGTCAGTTTAACGTCAGTATCATGGTGGATAAAGAAACATCAGTGTCAGTGTACTTTGTACAGTCCAAATAGCGTTTTTTCAAAAAATCCTGTTTATTCATGCCAGAAAAGTTCATATGATCTTCCTCATTTAGGAATTCATTAATTGTCGAAATCCACTCCTGTACTTTTTGATTTTAACCAACTCTCTCCCTGTAGTAAGATAAATAATAAATCACTCCGAGGTATTTTTAACGCCCTTTTTCATTCGACTGATTTTTTTTTACTAATATCTACGTTGATCGGACATCTAAAAGGGTCATACAAATGCATGTTCTTGCTTTTAAACATTATGCTTTAAAAATACCTGCGAACATGGACTCTTTTTTTACATGATCTAAAAAAAATAATAAATTGTGAAATTTTGTGCCGATGTAAAGAGTTATAGCATTTGCGTCAGAAGAAACCTGAAGCTTCCCTCTATTCAAATTAGGGGTGCTTTTTTGTGCAAATGTATTCATCCAGTGACTTTTCATCCGATACACAGGTTTTTTGAGCGCTCCGTACTTCAATTTCTTTCCCTTAAGGACTAAAGGTTTCTTCTATTGGAAGTATGCATTTGTGCACTTGTAACAAACAATTTATATTTCTAAAGATATGATGAATCGGTGTTTTTCAAATAATGGACTATAAAATTAATGACAGTTTTAACTAAAAAAAACCTTTCATATCTTCCAAGTCAATGAACGGAGCACTGATGTATATTTAGGAACAAGGGCAAATGTATAATATATACCCACAATAATTTAAATTTTAAAATTCTGTTTTTATGAGACACAAGCAGTAAGTGCAAACTATATGCTACAGGACTTCAATATAAATTGATAGATACAGAAAAAAAATCAAACAAAATCGACTGAAAATCTTAACGCATCTTAATCAAAAAAAAAGTTTTCTCCCAGAATTTTAATTACCCATTTGAAAAATAATCTGACCATCGATAGCTTGCAGACACTAGACACAATGTCGCATAGGTGTGCTCAAAGCGTGGAAGTGAATAGATTTGAGTCACGTGTTCAGTGCTTTGTTATTCATGAGGTCGAAGACGGGTTGAAATTTGTAAACAAGGTGCCTTTACTATGGAGACAAGCACCCGTGATTTTGCACCTTTTTGGAAAATAACAAATGAGCGCAAGACTGTTTCAATTTCTTTCATGAATGTAAATGACTAGTATAACTCTTTACTTTGACCGTATATACGACAACTTGAAACACCCATGCGCTCATATAAAAAATGGGCTTGCAAAATGGGGGTGTGGCCTAAAGTCTATGAGAAATCGATGTAAACAACATACCCCTGCTATATTAATCACATAAATACCTAATTACAGCGGAAGGAAGTAAAAATTGAAATTGAAATTAATAAACTACAATGTTTGATGGAAAGATTGAGGCAAAAATATGTAGGAAATCTTCAATTTAATTTTTTGTAAATTATAGGAGGGCCAGATTTGGACGTTTAAACGATTCATCCTTTAGTTTTATCTTTAATAGAAACAGATTATGCAAACCTTTTAATTAGTAATGCTTCCTATTTAACTACTCATGATTTATAAGTTTTTAGGCCTTTGTAATGCGTTAAACGTGAAAAAATAATTTTAAAAAAATCAATTCACTAATCTTTGTAGAATAATAATTACATATAAAGTCTATGCTGTAGTTTTTTACATTTTGTAGCCTCTGGTTGGAACACTGCTATTCAGTCCAGAATCCCTGTCCGTGCCACAGTGGTCGGTAACATCTGGGAACCAAACCTCCAGAACACTGCACGCGTGGCCCGCGCTTTTAACCACACCTATGAGTTTGCCGAATTCAGGAGTCAGTTCCCTGATTATGTTGACCTCTCATCAGTGTTTGAGGTTCGTAATCTGCAACTATAAATTATACCTCATATTTAACTCAACATAAGATTTTAAATTTAAAAAAAAAAGGATGATTATTACACCAACTGAAATACTGAAGTTATATTTCTGTATACTACAATGTTTCATAGGTATTTTAAACAAGAGCAATGTAACAATATAAAACAAACATATGTTAAAGCTATTTCTCAAAAGTACTTACTGCAAATTCTACATTTGTATTACAGACACCATCAGGAATCCTGTGTCCAGGTAGAAAAGATACGAAACCCGTCCCGACACCCTCTAACTATTTCCGGTTTACATCCGAAATTCTGAACCCTGATCAGAAAACCATTGGATTTATCAAAGTAAGCAAACCTTAACATCTCATTAAGACGTTATTTGATTCATCCAAAAACGTACTTATATTTTCAGAACAAATGTTCGTTTAGGTTTATTAAAGAAGGGCGTTAATCATTTTGTGCTCTAGGAATGGTATGATTTTAATATGAGCCTGGTTCGGTACGACTACAAACCAAATCCGTTAACATTCAATCCCTATGGCCTGGACATGTTATCTGAAGTACATGACTGGAACGAAGGTGAGCTAAGCACACTCTATCATAAATACAGTAAAACAAACATGCTTATGACGACGTGCCGGGAAAGATTTTGCCTCGTTATCAGCGTAATTCATTATATCCGTTAAATTTACAATATATTATTTTAAAGCCACGGTGAATGAAAATCACTTTGCCGTAAGCGTATTTCGTTATAAGCGTGTTCGATTTCATTTTAAGCGTGTTCGATTTCATTTTAAGCGTGTTTTTTTGTATACTACAAAATTTTGTTAGAAAGAAACCAGGCTTTGGGGGAATAGCTCCAGGATACAATTAAATTGTTTTTTAAATTAAGGGCACATATAACTATATTTATGAAATCAATTTATGCTTTTCGAGACTGCACAGTTCGTTGTCGTTCCTAAAACGCAACCAAAAAAGTAGTTATTAAATTTAATTATAATTTTTTTGAAAAAAAATTATGGAAGAAATAAGAGATAATCAAAATCTTAAATGTTTACAATTATGATCTGCTCCAACTGCTCTATAAACTGCTCCAACTCAAGTATACAGAATAACTTGGATAGCTATTAAATTCATTCCTTAATAATATTAGCAAATACATCATTAATACATTTATATGTAGGCTGCTGTTCATCAATACCACTTTTCACAAGACAATTTTATAACATCCGTAAAACTAAGGTTATTTTATTGTGATAAAAATGATTGACATTTAATCCCGCCCATATAGGTGTGGCCTACAGAATGGACAAGGTGCGCGGTAACTGTACGGTAACTACCATAGCTCCAACAGACTTTGACGCTCACGCTCTAGACGCCACTACCGTCAGAATACGTACAGCCAAGGAATTCTTCTACTTTGACAAAACACAGTATGCTTATGAAGGCATTGTAAGTACCAACATTTGCAACAACCCAGTTACATATTTATAAGAAGGCGTTATAAGCTAAGCACGTCTACAAACAAATTTTCTTATCTCCAACACAGAGGAGTTTCATTACTTTATTTTTCTATATTTCTTTTAAATGTAATCTAGTAAGGAAATTTTCATTGTGTAAAATTTAGACTCTTGAATATGTTCAAGATGTTCAATATATACAAAAACAAAAAATTACGCATATAATTATTTTCCACACTTTTAAAAATTTTATCAAATTTTAAAATTACTTTTTCCCACTCTTCATCAAATTATGTGCTTTGGTCAAACAAAAAGTTGTTATCTAAACATTTTTTTAAAAATGTCTTTTAAAGTAAATTGTACATATTTGTGTATTTCAGAAAAAAGCGCGCGGTATAGATTGCAATGTATGGATAGCTAAAAGAAGTGATTGGCCAGCGAACGGCCCCGTCAATAGCACGTGGGAGTGGTATTTTGCTGTGGTGAGTTATGATTCGTCTTTTTGGTACTATATTCTAATGCCCTTTATGATTCTCCCTCAAACGAGGAGGAAATAGTAATATTAATCTGTCTCTCTCCCCCTCCAGGTGTCCGTTTAACAAAAGAATAATTGACTGGGACTAAAAACTTAGGTTGATAATAAATTCTTGCAAAATCAATGATTCTTTTTTTTTTTTTTTTTTTTTTTTTTTTTAAATGCTTGTATAAAAAATATCGATCTAAATTGATTTTAAGGCGGGATTCTTGTCTGGTTTCTGACTAGATGAAATATTCAAAGTATATTTGCTTATATGTTTTATATATTTAGATGTAAGAGATTTAAAAGATCATATTTTTCTTTCCTCATCAGAATTGTACAACTTTAAATAGAAATGGTAAAGTGAGTTTGAAATCTAGCAGGGACTATATTTTTGGCGGAATGGCGGCGTATGAAAATATCTTCTTTTCTGCCTTTCAAAATAATTATAGAACAACGAATTTAGTAGTAATTTTTACACTATCAAAGACTTGGAGAAAATTTTAAAATGTAAGTTAAATTAATAATAAGATTAAAGTTTTAAAATATATCAAATAAATATGATTTTCCAAACACACTACAATTATGTTAGCTTTTAAAAGCTTCCAATTTAAGTTCAGATTTGAGCCAAAAATCCGTAAAAAGTGTTTTTTCTCTCTTAGTAAACGGTCAAAACTTTTTGTTTTTATATCAATTTATATCTTTATGTGACAACTTTACCATATGTGAAAATAAGAAAAACTTAAATATAGGAAGCATATGAAAATAACTAAAATATCTTAAAATTTTAAGAAAAAGAGAAAATTCGGATTAGCCAATATCCATTTTAGTTTAATTATTTATGTCAATTTGGTAATATCATCTTATAGACCCTATATGGTAATATCTCTTTATGCAAAAAGAAAAACATTTAATCTTTTGAAATAGAAGTAGCTAGGCATCGCATGATTTGCAACAGTAATTTTTTATTCTTAATGTCCAGGGAAAAGGTACTGACCTTGACCTGACCTTGCCTCTAATATAAAACGGTCAAATTTTATCTAACTGATACCATCACTTAGTGATATTGTCTTCTTGATTCTGTGAAAATTTCATTGACTTTTATATATAAGAAATAAGTGTTCTTATGAGAAGAATCCCTCCTTAAAGAGACTAAAGCTATTTTCAAATTTATGTTCATGTAAAAAAGAATTAAGTTCTCGTAACTACATTTTGGTCATAGTCTTTATTTCTTTTGTAAAACGGGTTCCAGGATATACATGTACCGGTAGCATTCTTGTCTGGTATGGGTTCAGTCTTTAGTAAATCTTTGCCCATGACAGAGGGGTCAACCTGGTCGTAAAATTGACTAAAAGTTGTTGAGTATAATTATAGTAATAAGGAATGAAATACATGTATTCGAAAAGTATTTGGGTCATGAATATTAAAAAGCCTTGATTGGAATGGATTCAACTAAACATGTAGGTACCCATGCCTGTAAGAGTCGCCATGACTTAAGATCCATGGTCTTTGGTAAATTATTTTTCTTTCTTGGAAATAAATCCGAAGCATTGGTTTAACTTGATGCACATTTAAGAATATTTATATTACTAAACGATGAGATGTTGTTATCGTGGTAGGCTAGACTTCATTGGCCAATTGTATAATTGGAAAAGAGGGAAAGACGTCGTTTTTTCCATGACATAATAGATTTTGTACTAAACATTCTTTACCCCTTTCGCGATTTTGATATGGGAATTGATTAAACTTATCGATGTAGAAAGCTTTTTTTCTTCGATATAAATTTCTTATTCCACTTAGAACTGGATATCATAATTCTTAATTCCTATGCTATGGACATTTTCATTTGCATTGAATGTAGAAGTATATGTAAAGGTTTTCTCAAGTTCTAAGAATCTTGGATTACATGTAAACGAAATAAAATACCTGCCAATAAATAGAAGCAATTTATTCAAATAAATTTCTTACTAATAAAAAAATATAAAATAGAAACTTTGAAGTAATTAAAGATTTCATTGAGAATGCGGAGGATAATTTCATTTGAAAAGTTAATAGTATTTTATGATTGAAAATAGTTTCAAAAATTGACAATTTTTTACTTAAGTGTTCACAACATATTGATAGAAACTTAGGAAAAAATCTCGACAACAAAGGTGCACTTAATGCAATGCTATAGATGATAAATTTCACTTCTTTTTACAGTTTGATTTGAATAGACAAGAATACTTATAAAAATCATGATCAATAGATAATTGTTTCTCATTCTATCTCAAATCACCCTAACAGAGACTAGTCCAACACTTGAATTTATACCGGCTGTTTGCATTTTAATGAGCAATCACTAGAATTAAGAAATAAAAGGTCCACCTCGGCGTAACTTTTGGAGTAAATTACTTGTACCTATATTATATACTCATTATTCTCTGTTTTATTGTTATTGTCATTATTAAATTGTATTGCTTGACTCATATTTGTGTAGTTAAAGATTATAAACAGTAATGAATGATTTTATTTAGAACATTTGAAGTAATTTATTAATTAAGTTTTATATACCTTAAAAGTAATTCAAATGTATAAAAAGAATGCTTACAGTTATTTATCTTTTTTAGAACTTTTACCGTAATTTTGAAATTTTAATTTAGAAAGTTTACAGTATTTTTTTTTATTCCATTTAGAAGAATTATACAGTGTAATTTATTATTTTATTTAGAACATATACAATACATTATAATTCCATTTATAAACCCTTAACATTATGTTATGATTTCATGTAAGTTTACAGCAGTTTTTATTTCACTTATATTAAGCTTGTTTACAACTAGGTAATTTATTATTTTGTTTCTAAATGACTGGGTCCAGAGTACAGGTCATACTTATGATTTTGTTTTAGAATGACTGGGTCCAGAGTACAGGTCATACTTATGATTTTGTTTTAGAATGACTGGGTCCAGAAGTATTACTTATAATTTTGTTTCAGAATGACTGGGTCCAGAGTATACATACTTATGAGTTTGTTTTAGAATGACTTGGTCCAGAGTATACATACATATGATTTTGTTTTAGAATGACTGGGTCCAGAGTACAGGTCATACTTATAATTTTGTTTTGAATGACTGGGTCCAGAGTACAGGACATACTTATAATTTTGTTTTAGAATGGGTCCAGAGTATACATACTTATGATTTTGTTTTAGAATGACTGGGTCCAGAGTATACATACTTATAATTATGTTTTAGAATGACTGGGTCCAGAGTACAGGTCATACTTGTGATTTCGTTTTAGAATGATTGGGTCCAGAGTATACATACTTATGATTTTGTTTAAGAATGACCGGGTCTAGAGTACAGGTCATACTTATGATTTTGTTTTAGAATGACGGTACAGAGTGTACATACTTATGATTTTGTTTTAGAATGACTGGGTCCAGAGTACAGGTCATACTTATGATTTTGTTTTAGAATGACTGGGTCCAGAGTACAGGTCATACTTATAACTTTGTTTTAGAATGATTGGGTTCAGAGTACAGGTCATACTTATGATTATATTTTAGAATGACTGGGTCCAGAGTACAGGTCATACTTATGATTATGTTTTAGAATGACTGGGTCCAGAGTACAGGTCATACTTATGATTTTGGGATGCCTATACAGATGAAACTTACCACTGATACCGTAAGTCAATTATCTACTGATACTGTAAGTGAATTATCTACTCAACTCTGTCAACTTACCTGTCAACTCTGTAAGTCAAATCTCTACTTAATTTTCTGTGTCTGAAAAGGTCGTTTTATTGTTCTTTATTCGGTTTCGGGCACACGATGCAGGCCTGTAGGAGGCAAATTCAGTTTGGTGGAGGGGGGTTGGGTGGGACAACAAATACTACCAAGTTGCACTACCAAGGAAAAGTTCCTTGACAAGCAACCAAAACTTTAAGATAAAAAAAATATATAAAAGGAAAAAGGGTCATCAGACGTTATTATTGAGGGGACATTGCCATATAGTAGCTCTCTATGTTTTTTTTGTATTGTGCTATATATATCGGCAAAATTGTTCGGGGGCAAGGGGGTTGCGCCCCCTCCCGGTTCCTATGGATACACAACAGACTCATTTTTGTCGTAATTAGCTAGGAAGGATGAGTACAGTAACTTTTTTTAGGTTCGTGATGCAGATGGTCTTTTGATTCTAAAACTTCAATGCCAAATTACTCTATGAGACAAAATTCAAAATATTTTAAATATTTTAATACTACTGAAACAATTCTTAACTAGTCCGAAAAAATGAAAACATTAAGAGTATCATAGTTTACTATTCTTTCCAGCACAGAACAGAAAGAAACGTAATTGTGGAATATTTGCAATTAGAAGTGTTTCTGAAAGGAAAACTTCTGCATACAAGTTTTCTCTCTTAAATTTAAAAGCATAACATTCTCTCTTTTAATAGATCTCATTTATTTACAACATGTACGACTATGACGAAGAACAACCTAGTATTTTCGACTTCGACATCTCTAGTTGTTTTAACTACACGGAGAAAAGAGATTTTACCTTCAAATTAGACGGTAAGCCTAAACATACATGTAGGTACAGACCACAAAACAGATGTTACAAAATTTCACAAACTGCTGGTAAATCTTGGGAAAATAAAGGAAACAAATACAAAAATGAAGTATTTCAGTTTACATCTTCGATTGATTGATTTTGTAACGATTGTGGAGAACTATATTGTTTTTATCCTTCAACATTGACGACTTTTTACTATTGGAACATTTCAAGACCAAGACAAAATGTATATTTTTGGTTGAAGATTAAAACGTTCTAAACAGAGTCAAACTAAAACTAAAACTTGAAACCACAGAAATGTTTTACCTAGTTATTTATTTTATTGCCAGTATGGCAAACACTACTTTGTCCGGTGTTTATCCGTGTAAACTTTTTAACATTTATAACATTATCATTTTATGGATAATTATACTTCATGATATTCAGAATCATACCATTTTAACAACTTAATGTATTCTTTCAACTGTTACGTTTCTTGCTGACAGTTTGATTAAATCAAACATATAAACATCAGATTTAGGGTAATGTTTGTTCAATAACGGCAGTAATGTTCAATTACATACACGTATGTGTAAATCAGTAATCTACATACTCAAATACTTTGCCAATTGAAAACAAATTTCAAAGCAGGTGTTTTGTTTTTAGAATGAATGACTTCGTCGTAGTCATTAGTTGATTGAAATGCAGTTGAAATCATACCTCTAAAGTTCTCTTATTTCCTGGTTTTGGGGACCATCTGTAACCTTACTATCATATTTTATTGTTGATCATTGTTTAATGTACCTTATACTTCCTTTAATTGTGTATTTTAGCTATTTACCAGAACACAGTGGGCAAGAACTTACAGCTGTTTAAGTACGAGACTCTCTTAACCGTTCACAAATGGACAAATCTCTCACCACTCAGGATCCAGAATATAAAGGTATTTTGTCTGAACTAAAAGAAAACTCGGTCCCTTGTACTCATTCAAAAGTTGAAAATCTGTATTTTCTAGACAAGAAAGGAAAATGATATGCTCGATATGAATGTTGTCTTACTGGACTTTATTAGGTGGATTACGACACAACCCATGTGATTGTGACGTTGACTGTCCTAGGTGGCGCTCCAATACAGGGTGATGTCGCTAATCCCAAGGCCCAAGTAGATCTGGATCAGGCAGCCACGATGTTAAATGCAGCCATCAACAGAGGAGACTTCCAAGTACCCGTGGACATTACAAATTTAGCAAATGTAAGTGACGTCATAATTTTGGAATCGTATATTATCGTTCTTTTGAAGTTATCTTGTTTTTGGAGGGCTTTTCTAAACATTTTTAAACATTCTATTCATTTTGATACTCAGAATGGCATGAAACATTCTAAGAAATTTGAAACATCCAATAACATTGGAGGGTGTATAATTTTGTTTTATTAATCATATCTGAGAAATAATTTTGTTGCAGCCAATCATTTTAAAGGCGTCACCGTACACACTGAGCACAAGCCAGCATCAGAACATAGCCGAGTATTACGTGGCCCCTCCTCCTTCAAAAACAACATATACTGCAGGTTAGCGTTCATTGTTATTGTACTACGTCTGTTCCATCACACCTTGCAGAATCATACCCGTAATAATCAAACCCTTCTGAATCATTCATGAATTTAGCGAATCAGTAGTCTATACCTTGCATGTTTGCCATAGTCGGTTTAACGGTTTCGAAGTTTAAAATTCGAACATATCCTATCTGATCTCAATCTAAAACATTTCTTGTTAATTAGGGCCCCGCTCTGCGGGCGCCCTATAGTGGTCAGTCTGTCCGTCCGTCCTTCCGTCCGTTTGTCCGTCAGAGGTCTCTTGTCCGGAGCATATCTTCTCTCTCCTTGGCCCAATCTGGTTCATACTTCACCCACAGAAGTGAAAGGGTGTGCAGTGATCTTGAACTATGTTTCTAGGTCTAAGGTTAAGGTCATAGCAGAATTATATGAAAAATCCTTGTCCGGGGCATATCTTCTCTCCTCTTGGTCTAATGTGGCTCATACTTCACTCACAGAGTGCCACTGGTCAATGGATTTGCAGTGACCTTGATCGAAGTTTCTAGGTCAAGGGTCAAGGTAAAAAATAGCCTCTCTGTTTAAAATCTTTTTTCGGTGCATAATTTCTTTCCCTTAAGTCTAGTCAGCCTCATACTTTACCAATTGACTTAAGGTACGGAACATTTGTGATCTTCCTTCCATATTTTGATAGAGGATATGCAACAATTTTCATGGAGGATATGCAACATTCGTGATTTTTGTGCCTTTTTTTGATAGAGAGTATGGAACACTCGTGATTTTCATGCCATTTTTTTTATTATAATAAGGATGACAAAGAAGCCCTTTAGACTCAAACAACACATCCCTTAATAGTACACAAATGTTCCTCTTCAAAATAAACCCTTTTCAGCTACCTTACATTTTCATGTTTGTTGCTGAAAGCGGGGCCCTTTGAGATGGCCACCATCTCGATGATATCTAGTTACAATTTAAATAGATAATTGCTAATTAATTCCAATAGGTGTTTAAAGATACTTTGTGGTTTTTTGTAAAATAAATGGACGATTTGAAGGGACAATCTTTAAATTATCAAACTGTTTCAGGTCAAATGGCGGGTCTTGGAATTGGGATGCTGGTGTTCGCCTTCATTATTGTGTTTGTAGCCCTTGCTGTTTATTTCAAGAAATTCAGTTCCTCATCCAACGTACAAACAAGCTCATTGGAAAACCCAACATATAATAAGGATTAACAAATATGATGTCATCATTACATTATTTCCGATTCCTCTTGTCCATTTTGTGAATCTGGTGTCACTTTATTGAGGGAAAAAAGATTTATGGATGAAAAATTGATAGTGTAAACTTTTTTATGGAGGTAACAGACATTTATACATATTGGTCGCAGACAAAATATGTAACTTTTATAGGTCAATTTCGGTGACTAAAAGTTCATGTATTAATATATCTGGCACAACTTCTGTTATGGAGTGTTTACAGTTCCAGTTGTGAGATTCTGTGGAGTTATTTTAAAAGAATTAACTGAATTATTTTATTTCACGTGTATATTTATTGCTTATCTGTATTTATGATGTGAATAAAAAAAAAACCTCGGTATTCTATGTCCTCAGATAAAGTCAAGCATCGTAATTCCAGGCCCGTAGACCCTCCCGACCTCCACCACCACCACCACCACCAACTTTTTTGAGTATAGAATTCTGCTGTAGTAGCTATTATAGTAAATTTTCATTTAGATGCTGGTGGGTTGCCCCTACCCCCCCCCCCCCCCCACACACACACACACACGCACACACACACTTCCCCCAGCCGCTTACTGTATGATCGAGCACTGGCAAATTCCAGGATTTGAACGACGGTTTTTGGGGGAGCGTGTCAATTTAGCCCCCCCCCCCCAATTTCGAAACCATTGCTACGGCACAGTTCAAACCTAAGATGCAAAGATAGGTAGTGACTGTTCCTTTGCCAAGCGCTTTAGAAGTGAGTCACGGGTCTTTAGAAAGAGTCCCTAAAAACCGAGGTCCCATGTCACGGTAGGCTTTGACAAGATAAAGAACCCTCACTGCTCAATGGCCCTGAGTGCCGAGTATAGGTTAAAATTTTAATCCCTTCACCGGTATATGTTAACGTCTTTATATGAGTGAAAAATTCTCGAGTGGGACGTTATGAAACAACATATAATCAATGGATCAATCAAAGAAACCAAAGCAATTTTACATTTCCAATTTGGTTAATAACATTTTAATCCTTTTTCAAAAATTGGGTCGTTAATATACTGTTTGACCTATTTTTGTGAAACTTATAACACAGTACCATTACCTAGAAGTTGGTAAAAACCGAATCACGGTACATGGTAGATAAGTATTATCTAAAAAAAAAAAAAAAAAAAAGGACTTCAATGTAGTTTGATATGTGGTCACATGTAAGAGAGCGGGACAAATTATACATGTATCAGAAAAGGTGGAAGGTAAAAAGGTAAGAATCTTGATTTATATAAGGAAGATATAAATTACGCTTAGCCTAGTTGTTAAAACAAAAAAAAAATGACACCACGAACATTTTTCAGCAATTAACCAACAAACTTTAAGTAGGACTTATTTACTATGGGCTTAAATATTATATTAAAAAGAAAGTAACATTTTAATGCTTATAATTTTCATCTGATTTTTTTTTCTACGTTCGTGCATTTTTGTATAAATCACTCAAATCGATTATGAATATTCAATGTTAAGTTAACGTTTGATATTTTCACTTTGTATCCAACACACCCAGGATAAACATCTATGGGGAAGTGACGATAATTTTCTTAAACCATAAATTAATCACATTAATTAGATTTATTTTAGGATTTTGTCTTTGTGAAACCATGGATCAAAGTCCAATGAGCTTATGATTTGAAGTAGATTAGAACATTTGGACTTTGCTAAATGTACCGATTTTAATGAGTAAAGGCAAGTGTTTAGCATAATCCCTACCTGGTACTTGCTTTCTTTTAACTGTTCAAAGAAACAATGAATTTTCTCTCTCCTATTAACTAGTTTTAAATCAAATTTGAAAAAGAAAATAAAGTTCAAGCATTTCCCGCAAAATTTAATGCAATTCCTAATTATCGAGAACAAGATAACATGTTCATCATCAATAGAAAATAATAAACGTTTGTTGTATAATAGCACAAAAGTTATATATATCAAAGGTTTGGCAAGATACCTTCGGCAGTATATCTGTGAAAGAAAAAATACTGCACAAAACAAGATGCACCACATACATGTAATAAGACCGGAAGTGTTACATTAATCAAAGTAGAGTCCATATATCATAGCCACTGCAAAAATGGACGAGTTGGAATATTTAACACTAACGAAATTGTCCGTGTTTTTATTCCACAAACATCGGCTTCCGAACTGCATCCCCGGTTTTTCCCGCAATGAGCCGATACTGACGTTCGTAACGATTTTATATCGCTTAAATCCCATTTGTTTAACTCTTTCTAAAATATCCACCGCCACAGTTTGACTGATATCCCGACATTTGACGGGGTCATAGTCAATCTTTGCTAAATGTTCAGCCAACACTGCTTCCGCAAGCTTCTCCACGTCACATACCCGGAAAACTTTATCCTCATCTGGTTCAAGTTTATAGGTATTTTCCATCCGATATGCTTTTTTTGGCATGTCGTTAGATCGATCTCCTATGGAGGTAATTTCAAGCGCTCCACCGGGGTCAGCGATTGGACCAGATCCCGATTTTCCAAGAGCAAACCTGGCCCCCGCGATCGATCCCCTAACTCTTTTCCCAGGAGTTGTGGCGTCACTTCGTGGATAGTTGGAAAACCTGCGGGACATCTCTGCAGTTTTCTTTATCTTCCTTTTTGTTGATAAGAGGTACTCTTTATAGCGAGGACTTGTAACTATCTCCTAAGAAAGATCGAAGTTCAAAATCACTCAAGTAGCCGTAGTATTCTAAACTAACTGGTTAAACAGTGTAGAGTCGCCAGGTTTGTTTGTAAAGCAAACTGTGTTTCGCTAGTGCACACAACAGCTTTGAGACGCTCTCCGTTAAATCACTTTAATTTGAATTGAATACACATAAATGTCCATTATGAGCAACTCGAGAACTTTCATTGACTATTTAGATTTCTTATGTCGTAAAGTAATTATGAATAACAAAGCACCTGTTTCCAAGTTAAATAAAACTTAGCTTTAATTAGATTAAATGCCCGGAAACTATGGCATATTTCTCTGAAATCACGTAGAAAATTCCACGTCTATGGGAAAATTAGTTCCAACAATGTCTGTATCAATCTGAAAATATTCTCTCGAAAAGTGAAGGGAGGAGGTATTGGCCAGAAAAGAATTCCACACAGCTGTTCTTTTCGTCGCTTGAGTCCCCTTTCTCTCTGAAGTAAAATGCATTAACTCTCGGACGTTCCAATTTTCCCCGACCCCACTTCCATCTAGACCATAAATCCTGCATGGCTCTTTCATTTAAGATTAATCTTAATATTTCTTAATCCTATAGTAGCCATATATTTTCACTTCTAATATCGAATGCAACAAATGCTTAAAAACAACAAAGCGGATTTACATGTCGCGAGTGTTTTTAATTCCTCGGTAGAAAATCTATACCCCCGATTCTTCAAAGGTTATTAAATTTCTTCACGGATCATTCAGTATCGCTCGATTTGTGTTATTAAACGCAATCATAACGAAATGCAGTGTACGGGGCTTTAAAATGCATTCATTGTTACGAATGGCGTTATTCATACGAGATAAATACAGGAAGGCTCTACATATCTTGAAATCAATCTATAGCGAGATTAAGGTTCATGTACCTGATATCCTAACACTGATAAAATAATATTCAAATCTTGATTTATTAGTAAAGATGTTAGCAGTTGGAAGAAATTTGTTTATTTTTTGTCAATATAAGTACATGTACGTAATGATTATTGTTAATCTGTCATAAATTTACGTCCTAAATTTATGACATATTAATTATTTATGTAGTTCTATTAATTTTGTTTTGTGATGCAATTCTGTAAATTGAATTTAAATTTGATTGAATGGACTGTGCCAATTAATGAACAGAATTCTGTCAACCAAAGTTATACATGGATTTTTTTTCGATTTGTTTAATTTTTTTTTTTTTAGTTTCTAAAAAAAAGCTTAAAAGGAACTTAACTTAATACCTGTCTAATTTATTTAACGATCTAATATATTTTCAGAATTTATTGAAAATATAGCCACATTTGCAATGACATAAGAAAATAGGTCATAATTATTTTGTTTAAAAGGTCATACACATACCTTTCAACGTACCTTACCCACAGATAATTTTCAAGGTATTCTTAAATAAAATTTTATAGTGCAATCAGGATGTTCTTAGACAAAAATTCAGCATTCATTTTCAGGGTTTTTAAAATTAAAGTTTTGTGTTATTTTAAGAACAATTAACAGGGATGTAGTTTTAGCTCTTATCTCTTCTAAACTTTATTTACCAGAGGTGTACACCATCATGAAAAATGATAAAAGTCGCAAAAAGGTCCTCCAATTATTGGAATTCTTAAGATATACAGGGAATATGTAAATAAAATTTCAAACTTCGTTGTGTATGTCCATAAGGAAGCTTTAAACACCTCAAACTTTCAAAGTTTTGAAAATACCGTACAATTTTAGCAATTAGAGTGATCTGCCGTTAGATATAAAGTAGAATGCAAAAAAAAAATGTGAATGCTACGCTATTTTTCTCATTTATTAATTGTCACTAATAAGGAGGAGGGTATAACCCTTCATTTGAAAAGAATGGGAAAAATTACATAGAATAAAACTCATATTGCCCACCTACTTCTGGAGAAGAAGCAGAATACACATACCAAAATGGACCCCACGAAGGACAAACTTCACTCAGTGAGCTAAATACTAGTAAATACAATGTACAACGTATATTGTTGTCGCAGAGATATCGCTCAGATGTATACATGTTGTTGTTCCGCTATTGATGAGGATGGTAATGAACGATGGGTGAAACTATGTGAGAGGGACAACATGTAAGGGCTTCTCCACTTTTATTAACCGGAAACCCTTCCAATGAAAAAAGAACCAAGACTGACAAACATTAGGAATCCGGAATTCTGGTCTGACTAGACATAATGGTAACCTCTTCCTTATTCACTGTATTAAACCAGTTTGATATCAGTGTCTACTTGGAAAAGATAACACTCTGATTACGACAGAAGTGTCCCGAAATAACTTTGGTTGCCGGAAAAAGATAAGTGTGACCTCTAAATATTTTTGTAGTCGTACGTCGTAAATACGTATACGAGTCCTACAAACAAACAAACCACACACTTAACCTTCCCTCCCCCACCACCAAAGTAGAGCATCTTAACTATTTAATTAATCTTCATACATATAACAGACACGACTACATCCTGCAGGATTCTGGAAAATATTTCGGACGTAAGCTGGTATGTTAAACACACACATATAAAGGAATCATGAATTGATTTCTAGTTGTGTGCTATTCACCAAAAAGAGTAAATTCAACCTGAGTTATACATGTAAGCTTAGAAGTGAGATATTATTAGTTACATAGTCATTTAGTGACCGGGTACGGGATGATACCTGGTTAGTATATTTCATACCTGGCGAGGCGAAGCCGAGCCAGGTATGAAATATAGGTATCATCCATAAACATTGATGTTTATGGAGCCAATGGTGCATCCATGGAATGCCGGGAGAATTTGTCTGGTGTGTACAGAGGAGGATATCCTACTTTCGGATACTGTGGCAAGTGTGGTTGGGGTCGTGAATTCACTGAAAAGGTCAGATATGTTAATTCCTTGTAATTCAGCTATGGTAGAACTGTTCTCCTGCGGAAATGGTATCATACTGAGAGTATTCCCAGTTTCCTGAGAGGATGGTAATGCCAGCTTTGAGGTACTAGAAGGCAAAGCTAGGTTGTTTTTAACTGGATTATTTGCAAGGTTTAGGCCCATTGCTTGTCCCATTGCAATCTTCTCATCCATATCTGTCCTTTGATACACTGTAAGTGACTGTACTGACTTGTGTCCTGTAACTGCCATAATCTGTGATGGACTAAACATACATTTGGTGAGAATTGTGGCTCCTGTTGCCCGTATGGAATGATTGGTGTAAATCTGGGACAGACCAACACTTTCACTCAGTTTAGACATGAATTTTGCTAATGTTTTTTCACCAAGTCGTGAATTACAGTACCAAGAGTTGTCCTCATCAAGGAATGCTTCTTTTGGTCTCTGCCATAAACTTTCACACTGAGGATGTAGTTTCTTCAGATATTTTTCAAACGATTTCACAGGACAAAAAGGAGATCTAGGATATTCAGGCATGACACCAGATGTTGACTCCCTGTCGTTAGCTCTGTGGTTTTTTTGTTAATTCATCACTAGATTTAGCTACATATTTAAGGCCTGATTTGGGATCCTCCTTCACCTGGAATGTTGACTTGGACATTGAATGCATGTTTTCCACGGAACGTCGACAAAAATACAATCTTATATCAAACTGTACTTTATTTTGTAAACCACAAGGCGTATCAGGACTCATGTGTGTAGAATCATACAACTTCTGTCGATCGCTTTCATTAATAACAGAGTGATGTTCCACATTACCTTTACCGATCCTTTTCAGCTCAGCAAGCGCAGCCTTAAACGAGACATTAGCATCCCGAAATTCATCATCCTTTATAATGTCAATTTTTCTGTTAAAGGGGGGGCTTTGTAAGTACCTGTTTAAGGCATGTCTCATATTCTCAAAGGACGTTGCCTTGTAATGTTCCCCGTCTTGTTTCCGAGCACTGAGGTAGAAATGAATTAAAACTTCATTAAGACGAACTACATCAAACTGTTCAAAATTTTCATCTTGCCTCTTTTCTTTCAAATAAGCTCTCAACACCCGTGGCGCCTTCGCGTTACTTTTAATTGTTTCTCTCGAATTGATAAGTTGCTTTTTTTCTCTAGTTCGTCTGCGTCCAAGAGCGCAAACCTCGTCGCCATGTTTGTTTATCGAAGAACAATAACTCGTGCTACGGTGTATTGATTTACTAATGACAGGGTATAAGTATTACCTCCCTTTCACGTGACAGACTTCAACCAATCTGAAGCCAGGATTTCATCGAAAAATCAACAGAGGTGGGGTAAACATACATACTCGTATATCTCTTTTTCACAAATTTTGTTCATAGATTGTAATGTTTATCTTGCGTCTCTCTCTGACTTAAACAAATGTAAAGAATTGAGAAAAATGAAAGGTTTTATGTGTGTGTGTGTGTGTGTTTTACCAAGTTTGTATCATTTAAACATTGAATCATATAATAAAACAATTGTTGCCGTTTTTTTTCAATCAATGTGATGATTAAGCCAACCTCAGAGTACAAAATTAACCTCACCCTTTGGGCTCGGTGAATATTGTACTCTGAGGGTGGCTTAATCATCGTATTTATTCACAACGAAAATCAAACTGTTAATTTTAAACCAAATTATTAACTTTAGTCGTGTGAAATAAATTTTTCCTTTTAAAACTAATTTTTAAAGACCAATTTGTCTGCGATTATGCTGTCGAACAAAGCAGCAAAATGCACTTAGTACAGAACATTTTCATGTCTTTTGTCAAACACTTATTATGCCCCTGGATCGAAAGATCCCTGGGGTATATTGTTTTTGTCCTGTCTGTCTGTTGTCAACTTTAACCTAGCCCATAGCTATTGCGCTGTCAAGGATAAGGCTTTAATATTTGACATGAGTGTTCATTATGACAAGACCTTTCCATTGGTACAGAAATTTTTGATCATGTGACCTCAGCTGTGACCTTTGACCTACATTTGAAAAACTTTAACATTGGCCATAACTATAATTGCACTGTAGTCTACGTCCCACTCCAGAATTGTGTTACCATCGGGGGCATAGTGTTTCACAAACACATTTTGTTTTATTTCTATTTGTAGTTTTTGAAATTTCCATAAGGTTACCTCCGTTAGATACGTTAGTTTTCAACTGATATTCTTTAGAACGACGGTGACGCATCTACATGCACCATGACCGTTTGTATAAAGTTGTATCTAAGTCACCATTAACGAGATACGGACTCTTACATGATATAGGTACACGTACTTAAAATCCTTAGACGATGCGTTATTCTCTCCAAACTATCAGCACTTAGGAAGAAAAGATTCCAATGTTAGTTCAATAATGTGTGTTAAA